TAAGATCAAAACATCCTTGCGATCACCTCACTTCAAATATTAATTCAGGACCAAGTCTCCAGAGTTTACACAGCCCCGTGCAAGGTAGAAAACAAAGATCCCGATTGCACAATTGGAGAAAACAATTCTGGGTTTCAATAAGTTCATTTGCAAAAACAGATAAGTGAAGTTTAGAAATTCAAGTGCTCCGATGGGCGGTGCATTCGACGTCAAGATACGTTGCGAAAATGTTAATGAAAAGTAATAGGCTTTCTTGTTTGTCTGTAACGTTAGCAGCGATAAACGGCGACCCGTGCACGCGCGTTCCATATCGCCAGATAACTGTCCGCAGGGGGACAGCAAATGAATATATTAGGTTACCTTTTTTTCTTCCAATTTATTGATCACGCAAGATAAGGTAACGATAGGATCGCCCTTTTCTCGACCTTTATCTTCTCACTGTGGAAATCGCTTAATGCGTTATTTGACATTTTTAACCCTTTCTTTGAACACCTTTTTTTCCTCTCGGCGCTAGCTATTCATGAGCGTGATTTGCGTTATTGAGAAACTCAAAACGTTGGATCGTAATATATAATGCTTCAATGAATCGGTATTTTTCATAATATGCATAATAGTCGAGAAAAAAATTATTTTTCACTTGCGCGAACAATATAAATGACTGTTTACGCACAGGCGGTGATGGATGACTCAAGTGCTCGTCAAGCGATGCACGCGCACGGTGTTACGCGGTGAACGCGGTGACGTGCAGGAAGACGTAGACATGTTTGAAGATTAAGAAGATTTAAGAATTCAAAGTTTGGAGGTTGAGGGATTTAGGAATTGGGGATTTGGAAATTTGGGAATTTGAAAATTTGGATACTTGGAGATCTGGGATTTGGGTTTCGATTCTTGGACCCAATGGTCTTTGAGGATTTGGGGATTCAATTTGGGTACTGGGGATTGAAGGGAATTTGGGGTTGGAGACTCTGAATATTTGGAAATTTGGGAATCTGAGAATTTGGATACTCGGAGATCTGGGATTTGGGTTTCGATTCTTGGACCCAATGGTCTTTGAGGATTTGGGGATTCAATTTGGGTACTGGGGATTGAAGGGAATTTGGGGTTGGAGACTCTGAATATTTGGATATTTGGGGATCTGAGAATTTGGGGATTTAAGAATATGGTACTTGAGATTGAAGGGAAGTGAGAAGTCGAGGTTTGAGACTGAATATGTGGATATTTGGGGATCTGAGAATTTGAGGATTTAAGGATATGGTACTTGAGATTAAAGGGAAGTGAGAAGTGGAGGTTTGAGACTGAATATGTGGATATTTGAGGATCTAAAAATTTGAGGATTTAAGAATATGTTACTTGGGATTGAAGGGAAGTGAGAAGTTGAATATTTGAATACTTGAGGATCTGAGAATTTGAGAATTGAATAATATCATTTAAAGATTCAAAAAGATCAAAACTTTGAATATTTGAACATTTGGGTATCTAAGAAATAAAACATTATGAACTTGTAAATAGCAAATTCTTAAAAGAATCAAAAGCACGAAAAGTCCCCATAGCAAACACTGTCTGACGATGAATAATTCTCGTTAGCACACATTCCTGTCACAGTGCCACGGATAAGAAAGGAAACGCGGGAAACCGAAACAATAACGAATTCCGATCGCGTTATTGCATTCCATGCAGTACAAGTTTCGAAGAATCGAAGTGTACGCAACGTGGAAACAGAAATTTTCTCGTTAAAACAAACTGGCCGGAATATGTTGAAAGTTCCACGAAACTCGATAAAGAATGTTCTTTCAACAGAATGGTTAAACAGTTCTGCGTTCATAATATACCCGAGCAAATGTCGTATGAAACTGGACACAGGAAGAACGACGCAAGAAGAAAATTGTCTTAACCGCAAATTGTCGCTAATTAATCCAAGTGTTCGTGGTCTGCAATCAGGACCCAACGGAAAATATCGACACGCACCTTGTGCGCATCCACCATGGCAATGAAATCAAGGCTCTCTTTATAACTGCACCTTATTCGACGGAATTGCTACGGCAAACGTAGTCGTCTGTCCTGTAAACAAGTTTCATATTCATGCTAGCATCACGTGGTACCCTGCGTGCCGACTATATCTACCTTGTGTACGTCGCTCGATTTCCTGCACGGTTGCCAGGAAAACAGGGAAAATATTAAATCGTCTGCTGATGTTTTACGAGACGTTCTTGGCGTCGGTGGTGTCACTGGTCAACCATATTTGACTGTGAGGCCATGGGGAGTACCCGTTGTACCAAAATCTTATCGAACAAGGAAAGTAAATTGAAATTCGGAATATCGCTACATAAATAATATCAACTGATAAACTGGGAATTTGCATAGATAAGGTTTTGGGAGGTTTCAATCGGTCGATCGAAATTTTATGACATTGTTGACAAAATTTTTAGGTTCAGACTTATGGATATTTAGATATATGCATGTGTGGATTGCTAGATATCTTGACCTCTAAGTTTTCATAGATTTCTAGGTTCCATTCTCCAAATTTTTAGGAAGATTCAGATCTCCAAATCCATGCATCTCTAGGTCGTTACATGTTTATATTCTTACAACTCCATGTTCGTACATATGTGGACCCCTACATATGTAGACCCCTACATCCTCGGCTCTCTACATCCTCAAGTTCTTATATTTCCAGACATTTATATCCCGATATCCCCAAACATCGATAAATCCATAAATTCCTTCCTCCCTACATCCCTAGACATACTCCTAGTCCCGACAATCGTTCACATCGCAGCAGTCTAACCTCTGCACCCCAAAATGTCAGAAACGATCAATACAACTAACATACAACCACCTTCATAATGAAAATAATTTTTATCACATTCTACCACAAAGTTGGATCTCGAACGATTATATATCGTTAATGTTTAAAGTTCAAGCCAATAAGTAGGCTCGAGGCCTTCACTGTTTTTGCATGGACGTCATAGATCTCGATCCCGAAAATCGCTGACTACCAAACTTCATGCGTCATCGTTATATGATAGTTGGTACGTAGTACCAAGATATTTCCGATCGTTTACGAAAAACAGCCTTGAATTCGGCCAACTCACCGTGCTGCTAATTCAAAGCGCGTAAATATAATTAGACCGTGGTACGCTTCGCACAATCGACGGAACGCTGTGTTCGAGATTTGATTATTTTTCTCGACGGATATAAAGAGACGCGGTGCAATTTACGCGGGATACATTGTTTCCGAAGAACAACAGTTTGATGGATCGAAACGTGGTGCTAAGTGACTTCCGAAAGTCTCAATGAACAATGATTCATTCTCCTAGACCATTTCGATTTGAACAGAGGATTATTTATGTATTGTGTTAATTATTGTATCGTGTAAAGATAACATTTGAGCAATGGGAAACTCCTGTGACTCGTTACGGCGTGTGGAGAGAGCTTGGGGAAAACTGAGAGCTTGAGGAAAGTTGTGAAAACAAGTGACGATGAAGTATAAAGGAAATCTTCATGTATCTTGTATTTCACAGGGAAATTTACAGTGTGCCTATATTGTAAAATTCTCGAATCAAAAATTTTCTCTAAGTGCCTAAATTCTAGGACCTCCAAACTCAAGTCATCAAATTCTCAAATTCCTCAAATTTTGAGATACTGAAATCTCTGAGTTTCGAAAGATATCGAATCCCTGAATTCCTAAATCATGGAATTTGCAAGCTCTCAAATTCCCCAAATGCTTAAACTCGAAAGCTCTGAAGTCCACCAAGCGAAAGACCATCATCAAGATCTTTTAGCCACTGATCAGCATTTTTCCAGGAAAGCGAACAAGCTGGCATTGTACTCCGGACAATCGATGTCAGCGATAAACCCGCGGAAAAACTGCGTTTTCCACGAAGAACAGTATCGGTCTTTTGCTCGACGGCTTATCGGGTCCGGCAGAGTTTACTGCTCGCGGGCATAAATCTTCCGTTCGTCGGTGCGAATAGCAGAAGCCGTCCGCGGCCTTCGTACTCCAACTTTTCGACGCAAATAATGTTCCTCCACGTGTACTACCATAGTCGAGCCCGCCGTACTGCGTATCTTATTCGTCTATTTATCCCGCTACCTTATTCCGCGTCGCTACACGACGAGGTTTCGCGCGTCTCGTGCCAAATATTTGCCCGATGCTGGGCGTTGCGTCACTCGTTGCCGTTTTCGGTCCTGGTGTTCGCCATAATCCGTACGCGTTGCAACGGGCGTTTACCTCTGTTTCGTTTGTGTCCGATCGAGAGACCTGTCTTTCCGCTCGAGCACCGCGCAACGCCGCGAGTAAACGACGCTCTGGCCGTGTTGCAGACGTGTGCACAAAGCGGGTCGATGACTTCCACCCACTTGCCCCGCGAGAGCTATAGTCCCCGTTTGGCCTTGACACCTCGCTCGCGATCGGTCAGCGTAGCCTGGCACGCGTGTTCACGCGCTACACGAACCTGAAGCGATCCTGAATTCGATCGCCTTTTCACCTCACCGCAGATAGAGTATCAGCGGTAGACGAGGGATCAAGTTCACATTCTTGTGCTAATTGTATACTCTCTTGGCTTACGATGGCGGGAGGTTGCCATTCTTACAGGTACTCGGCTCGTAGAACTTGTACTTGGGATTTTCTTGCGTTCCCCACTTTTGGCAAGTGCCTTTGTCTGGAGTCGACTACTATAGCGCAGTGGACGTTTGGCACATTCAGAACATGAGATGTCGAAAAAGTCTGAGAACTAGAAAATGCGACTAGGAAATGTGGGAATTAAGTTAGAAATTTGAACATTTCTACAATGTAGAAACTACAAAAATTTTAAACCAGGAACTTGTAAATCTAAGAATTCCAAATTAGAAACCAAAAAGTTTTGAAATCAAAGAGCTTAGTAAAAAATTTGACAATTCAGAAATTTGAATATTTGGACATTTAAGAATTTAGAGAACTGCAACACTCGATTGTGACCCTAGAAAGCCACAGATTGAATGCAGCAATTTCATAAACTTACCGAGAACAAAGAGGTACTGCATAAAAAAATAAAAGTCAAAAGACTTGTTATTAAAACGCTCGTATTTTCTTTCAAAAGACAAATTACTAAGAAGACTGCTTTTGTCTTGAAACGACTGTTTTTCTTCCTCAGCTTTATTGCTGACATTGGCGGTTTTTGTTGTTAGTTGTTCAGAGTTACAGGATGTTTTGCAGCGAGATGTGATCAAGAAATGGATGATACTGTCTGCAAAAAATAAATGTCTGCTAAAAATGGTCTTCTAATATTGGAAAATATTTATGTGCATTCACAACTGCTTTATCTAATTTTTATTGTGACTATTACTTTTCGAGTGCTTGTTATAAAACAAGTTCTATAAACTGCATCGGGTTTAAAAACAGGAAAAAGTTAAATTTGGAATTACAAAGACTTTGGTTTCGACTTTGTTGTTGAAATTGGACCAACAATAACAATAAATCTAACATATTTTATAAATGATTTTTAATGAAATGTTTTGCTTCTCCAGTCTGAAAGGAACTTGAACCCATTACCTCACGTTTTTTAAATGGCCTCACATGTTTGCCATACTATCGTTTTCGAGCGACGCAAAATATCAAAATATACTAACGTCCGCAATTATTTCGTTACGTAATTATTATATTGAATACAGAATCTGCTTTAAATGTGAAACACGCTTAACTCAATTGACTCTTGTAACACTCTTTGATCACGTTGCTCCGCAATCGAACAACAAAGATAATTGGTTACAGCACATCTTCAATTTCTTATTACATAAAAGATTGATTGTTTATTAATGTCACTTCTGATAGTTTAAATATGTGTTCCAAAGTAAAAATTGTGTAATCAGTTCTTCGTACGGTTTACGCATCTCGCAACAAGCGTTCAGTCTATATGCATAAACAACCATATATAAAAAATGCGTCAACAAGAGTACGTTTTTATCTAAAAAGAAGGCAAAGGTGCATAGCCGCACACGTGCGTAACCAAACTTGCAAAATGCCGGTCGATAACGAACGGCGCAAAAAGCGAACGTCAAAGCGGAGCAATAATTACGGTGGCACCAATTTAACGATCATCGTTTTGCGCCCGGTCACGTCACGTTAATGAACAATTCTGACGAAAGACCGTGCCAACTATAGTAACGGCGCGTGGCTATAAAAAGTATGCTCCTTCAGCGTCGTAATCATCCAACGAAAACGTGTGCGACGCGTCCCTTACACGCGAGTCTTCGTCTTGTACACGCTCGCGATCTGCGACGATAGCTGCTCGTGTACGCTCGTGTGCATGCTCATACATACATGCCTAGCTAGATATACGTATAAATCGGATCTACGACCTGGTAGCCAGTTCGAGTTGCACCATCGAGACACAGCTTGCACTTTCGACGTCTCGAAGCGATGTGCGTAGCAGCTGATCGCTACGTCATTCAGTCACGGTGCTCGCGTACTATTAAGGGTTGAAGAACTCATGAATGACGAGGATTCATACGCTAATTGCTCTAATTAATTTACTTCAAATTACTGCGCTATTTCTGGGACTCGAGTTTAGAGGGACATGGGGATTGGAGGGATTGCGAGGTTAGAAGGATACTACACATATATTAGAAGGGTACTACACATATGTTCTACTGATGGCAATTCTGGGGATGCTGAGGAGGTAGTTGAATTATAAGGATATTGAGAAAATAGAGATATCGGACATACAGAGATGTTAGAGCTATTCAGTCGGGACTAAGGAGACACAGAGTATTTAAGTATTTAGGTATTTGAAGGAACGTAGAGATGTCGAAGCACCGCAAGTTACGTACTCAAACATAACCACACGTGAAAAATAAAATCATCCTCGTGATATTACATAAATTATTAGCAGCAGATCATGTAACAACGTCGCGTATCGTAAAAGTGGATCAGAATCGAAGGGGAACAAGGCCTGGTCGCTCGATCACTTTCTGTCTGATCACATCACGCCCCTTTCTACTTTTATCCTCCAGCGATCCCGTTTCACTCGGGATTCGTTCTGTGTACGTCGTTGCACATTCTACTTACTACCGTTGCATCAGACTTGTTTGACTATGCAAACATTTAGCAGGAACTTGGTTTCGTGAAGCTTGCCATACCCGGAAAGCGGGAAAAATGACTTGCGCTTTCGAGCTTATTTGCCGATCTAGATAAATAACGCGTGCCGATGATGCTGTGCTTATCTGTAGCGCGGAAATCAACGGACCATAGAGCAACAAGCACGACACGATCTATAAATTTTCTTCCTGAACATGGTTACTCAAGCGTTGCGAGAATTGATGAAATCGCGGCGGTTTAGTAGGTCGTTCGAAACGCGTAGCCTCGATATTTCAATGAGACCAAAACATTTTTGGACCGATGAAAGCGTTGAATAAAACCACCGGTTGCGTAACCGTTCACAAAGAAACCATTCTTCGACGACCCCTTGCAGACCTAACCGAGAGATATCTTTCGGTTCCAATACCCTATTGAATCTTCCGGGTGAATTTGAATCGGTGCTTTACGTAACTCGAAAAATTCAGCAGCTGCCGAACTCATCCCTCGTTACGTTACTGTGACGTTAACGTGACGTTGTTCGATCTCCTTAATATCGATCACGTAATCTTTTGCGAGTCAACTTTGCGACTTCGACTTTGAAAATCGAGCGAAGATAACTTTGTTTTGTCTATGATGCTGTAATAACAATTATCATTACATAATCAAAGTTTTTGTATCGGAGAATAGATGCAATTAAAACTTCTGATCGATTAAAAAATTAGAATACGAACGCAGTAATTGAGTACCGCGATAGCTAATGTCCTCTGTTACGAGCTGTATTCAATGCTCTTTCCTGAACTTTTTAAACGAGCACTAAAGATATAACCGTTTATGTTATCGATCTGAATTTAAACTGTCAATTTGCTGTTTGACAGAAATGAAAAATCAATGTATTCAAATGTTATGTTTACCTCTTTCATGTTTTGCATTTCTTAGGAATACGTTATTTAAAAAGTTGATAAAGTATAACATATCAATAATATGTATGACGTCGCATAAATATTTATGTAAGGCTCACGTAACGTATTTTTGTGCTGGCGAATGCATATGACACGTAGAATATGATTTGAATACACTATAATGAAGGCTAAAGATGGAACAGTTTTTCACGATTTTGTCTTTTTTACTGTAATAATAATTTATTACTACTATATTTACTATTTACGCGCATAATGATTTTCTTCTGACAAGAATATTTACTAAGGGATGTAATGAGAATTCAACATATGTGAATTCAAAGGGAGATACCCTTTCATATCTGAAGATATACGTTTATTCAAATGATACAAAAGTCGGGTACAGAAAATAAAAATGCTTCAGTGCTTAATTCTTTGAGGAATGTTTTAACCCTTAAAGATCACAAGCGGAATTTCACCCCATCTCCAATAAAATCTTCAATAAAATTGAATATTTACCTACATTAAACTGCAGAGTTAGTGATTATTAAGGGTTAAATAGCAATGTAAGAGGGTTAATCTGTCGACAAGCGCTTGGCGCCTGCAAAATCAGTTTGATTCATTTCCTGCTGCCGTATCTCTCTCTTCCTGGCGGTAAGATTCTTCGTCAAAAAATAGCACCATCACAGTTAGCATCATCGTCATCATCGGCTGGGTGAGTCACTGAACGCTGCGAAAGAGGACACGGCTGGTAGCTCTAGAAAGTCTACGGCTAAAAACTGGCTCTAGATTACGAGAATAGCTGCGATCCTTAGAACGAGGTATGCACACGGATATAACGTGCAGCTGTGGTTTCATCGATTCTCGTAAATGTATCGACTCCAAGAACGAGATAAAAGTGACAAATAAAGTTGCAGATCGGGGGATCTATGTAAATGTACGTACAGCGAGTTCGCTGGAAAATCCAATCGTGACGTAACGAACATTGCGATAGATAAAGTGACTAGTAATTTCCTTCCTGCCGAAGCGGAATTTCAGCGAGAACGGTTCTGCATTGCAACAAAGTGAAGTCGATTGAAAGGAATCGATTTGTCGCGAAGTTCCGTTTTACGAGAACTTGTACCAAGGTCGAGCGGATTAGGAATTATTGATCCTTCGTCCTTCGAAAAGGATCTCCAGACCTATTTTATGGCAGGTCATAAGCTTGGTTCCAAACGGTATCAACGATTTTATGACTCTGAAGGAAAATCTTATTTCTTGCGATAAACTTGAAACTGTCCATAAAATGTTAATAAGTGGATTAGTTTTGACGGTGAACTCAGAAGTGTAGGGATAATCTTCGATCGACGTGCTGGATAATTTCCACAGAAAATTGCAATTACTGCTAAATTAACTGTTTACAAATTCCAAGTATAAGCTGTTGATTCTAAACGTGATTCACCAGGTATCTAAGAACGCGCTGATACTGTAATCGGTAAAAATTGCAAACATTGCAACTAGGTTGATCGGTAAGTTCGAAACATATCGATACCATGACTGAGCGTAACTAGTGCAAGAAATGAAGTAATATTCCGAGAAACGAGCTATTTACGCCTAAGAGATTCGACGTATTAATTACACAATATTCAGCCTCGAGAACGTCGATAATCTCGCCCGACGGAGCATACAGCCAAACATCGTCGAAATTGTTCTCGAACACGCATTCGTGACGCTGCTACAATAATTCCCTGTTTGTTTGTAAACATCGCAAATATCTTATATAACTCGCTGGTTAAATATCGTTAGAACAAAATGTTGCCCAACGATATTGGGTTAACTGGTCCCGATAAAAGCGGGAAAAAATATAGTTGCAAATGTTTCCAGGAATCGTGCACAGGGAAAACCGAGCGAACCGCGTTTCGAAGAAGCAACGGAAAATGGCGCCACGTAAATGTCGTCAAGTCAACGAACAGGCGCAGAGCGTGGATTCCATGAAAATTGCCGCGAGTTAATGCTGGCTCGCGGACAAACAAGTTTTTTTGCAAATCATTGACTGCACCGGTGCAGTTTACTTGTACCCGTAGCGGAGCACCGTGACAATGACTATCGTAGACAAGGTCGACCGATTGGAGTCGAGAAACGGGTAAGAAACGATAGTGGGGAGAGCCAAGCAAGGTCGGGAGGACTGATACGCAGAGCAGGAAAAGGTAGCCGAGAATCGGTTGAATATCAAATTTTATTCTTGCATGTAGTCCGCATACTCCGCTAGAAAATCGAGCCAGTCCGGCTTATTTTTACGGTTAGTCGCGCTGGATCGTGTGAAAGTTCCAGGTGACGCTGGTAAATGACATCACTACTTCTACGTAATCAAGTTATCTTTCTATATATAAATATGGCGAAAATAGTCGGCCAGGAGAGACATCTTGACGATACAACTCCGTTGATTTACAAAATTCCAGTCCGAGGTCGACGATCAAATATGAGCCTAAAAGATAGCAAAAGGTTATTGAACTTGAAGGTGCATTTTATTCGAATAAGCTAGAAAATGTGAACGAACTTTGTCGACCCAATATTTAACAAATCCCGCTATCTTTCCCGCTCATTTCTGGTACATTTCATATCGGAAGAAAACGCACACGAGATCGTGCAGGTAGGTCAACGCGAATATCGCATCCGTTGGTATTTCGCGAAGACGAGCCACGCGTCACGGCTATGGGACGAAAATATTTATTCGCACGGCAGATACAGACGACGAAGGCTAACTTTCAAAACAGCTTTTGTCTCAAACGTGGAACAAATAAGCCGAACATTGTTCGAGCCGAGTAAACCACGCGAAATCTTATCGATCATCTGGCGAAACGAGCACCGTTTGCGTTCGATAACACTTTGTTTCGCAATCAGTCGGGCTTCTGCCTTGCACTGTTTATGAACCGATCAAAAACATGCACACGAATACCATACAATTATTCTCCATCCGATTCGCAACGAGAATGAATGTACGTACGTCGAACGACACTGTCTAATGGACTAATCTTTGCGACCATAAATTCTTGTTAACTTGTTCTACTGACGGTGATAGTTGCAAGATATAGTTATATAAATGTGAAACGATTTTTTCCTCTTGTACGGTAGAATAAGGATAAAAGGAATTTGCCTGAACTTTTTCGAGAAGTCGCAGAGAGAAGTCTTAAAAAATGAGAACGCGTAGAGAAAGCCTAGAAAATTTGATGATTTGGACATTCGAAAATTTGTAGCTGCATGATTCATTGACCGCAAGTAGGTCAACTTCTTAAATGCTCTGCGTTTTACAGCTGATTCAAAAAATGCTGTACCTCGCCAAAAATTTGGTGGCTGAAAAACTTGACACTTTTCAACATCAGAATATTATTTTATATTCAACAATTATTTCTTAGCTCCAAATTTGAAAATGTCCAAGTAGCGTTTTGAAACTTCAAATATCGATGTTATTTTATTATAAAGATTATCTTGTTTGTGACAGAGAATGATATCAAAAATACTTTGTAACTCTTTAAAAGCGTGATTAAATCTACGTATACTTCGGAGAAACATATGCGAAATAATCCACGGCAAAAATAATTTATTTATATAAAGAAAGTTCAAAAACTGCGGAAACAATTTGTGTAGTGTCGTGTCCGATAAGTTGACATTCAAGTCAATAGGATCAACATAGTTTCCGGCTGCCAACTTAACGGACACGATACCATCACGTGTTAAGGCCAGTCTCCCACGAGTTCCACCCTTAATCGTGATTAGAATTAAAAGGTACTTACTTCATCACGTAGAAATTAAAGCTCACGACGGTACTCCGGCCTTCTTATTTCTCGCATCAGGAAACCCATCAAACAGTTAAGAACGCTTGGAACGGCATAGCGCACGTTTTCTCTATATATAGTCACGTACACCTATGGTTTTGTCCGCGTCGGGCAAACAGAAGGCATCGTACAATAGAAAGATCGACGAGCGTGAATGGAAGAAGTTCAGATTCCTTTCTGATAATGTTCCATATTTGATACATTTCATATGCACTGACACCGTGTTTGGTCTTTTGGTTCCAGTTTATTTAATCGTCCCAGTAATTTTTCTCAGTCACCAGAAATATTACGTGAAACGCGTCTCTGTGCACGAAACCGTGCCGTTAGCTCAAAGGGGATGAAAGGAGGCGCGAGTCCGAACTACCCCCTTTGACGGGCACGTGGATCGATGACGTTGCGCGAGGTTTACTCGCCGCGAACTCCCGCCGAATCGCGTTTGATTTCGTTCGTGCGGTTAATTGATAAAAACGAAAGTCGGTTAGCCGACGAGTCGAATAATACCCTGCACGCACGCTCACCGCACGACTGTTGGCGCAACACTGAACAACTGCGTATCGGTCATAACTAACGGCGCCTCGGGAGCGCGCGATGACTCGCGCAGTCGCGTGATCGCCTACACGACAAATCGGCCGTTTGTTTGCCGCCAGAATTAGACAAAAGAATCGAGCTCCACCGTTTAAAAAGCTGATTGGGTTAACAGCGAGTTCAATTTCTCGGGGTCGCGGATATTCAATGTGTGCTTAACTGTATTTTCGCGATCTTGCTCCGCGGCAGGAGACACGCTGGCGGAACGCTGGATACCGGAAGCGCGTTGGCGGATGAAGATTGGAAAGAACGATTCCTTTGTCTGCTTCTCGCGAAAACCACCAGCAACTTCGAGCGTTCTTTTCTCTTTCTTCGTGAAACTCTTCTTTATTATTTTTCTAAACTTATGTATGCGATATCCTTTAAGAAATATAATGTACAGAGTTTCTCAGGAAATTAGAACATTTTACTTGAAGCAAACCTGAAGGGTATAAAATTGATAATACATCTTTTTGTTCTTCTTATGAATATACACATGTAATGTACACAATTTAAATATAATAAATTAAATATATAATACATATGTTTGTCTGTTTTCATTTTACATATCTTGCACCATGAATATACCCTTAGGTACGTATACCCTTACGTACGTATGCATATACATATCCCATAACAGGTGTCATAACAAACTAAACTAGTTCATTATAAGATATTACACTAAATAACTGTTCCCACATAACCAAGGCCTGCATCGACTCACATTTTTAGTAAGGAACCCTAAGAAGCCACGCGTACAATAACAGTATCGACCAGCCGTCAGTAGTTATCCAAACGTTTTATGGTATTAATATCGTCTATACGTGATTGTATTTAGTTGAAAGTAATTGCAACCTCCGCACTTTATTGCCCGTCGCGACATTAACCTTGGGAAAAATAGATTGACTCGACTCCACCCCGTGCATACGCACGTAAGTGACATTTCTCCTTGAAAAGATCACCTTTGCTGTTCTAGCAAACGAAGTTTCCGATTCAAACTGAACTGATCTGTTCAGCTGCGTGAACCCTGGCCGCGAAAACAAGATATTTTACGACCTACGTATAAGCTCCGGTAAAAAACAATGCGTTCATTGTGCCAATAATTTATTCCACGCACAGTAGACAACAAATATCAATAAAAATTGTCGGACAAAGTGGGTACGAAAGTACTTTGACACATTCCTCACTCAAAGAAAAACAGCATGATAAGAATATAATTACGAAGAATAATTACGACAGTTAAACAATTACATTTATCGAAATATGGTGTATGAAAATTTCTTGTACTAATTTCATAAATGAAATGGCGAACAGTGTTGGTTTTATGCTGTTCTTATAGACTTTTTTATTTAAAGCCAATTTTGATAGTACCACCATGAACCCTGTTTTCGACGATTTAGCTCAAGAAAGGTGAAGGACGTCCTCTACATGTGATCCTTTATCGCAGTGTCTTGTGACCGATAATGTGCGATAACAGACGGTTTGTCTAAAAATTACGCCGCAATTTTAAATGACAGACGCCGACATACGCAATCGGCACGTTCTTGAAGAAAGCGATAGCGATAAATGCGTTTTGAAACAAGTCCGTAGTACATGACGACGACGAGTTTACATTTAGAGACTGACATGATTAGGGTTCTCGTTTGGGGTGGGCCAAGTGGAGATCTCAAGCGATCAATATTGTCAATATTTAAAAATTCTCACGATTGTTACATTATCAATAAAGTATTCAGAAGAAAGATTAAGAACATCTACTGATCGTCTGAAATTTCCATAACAGTATAAACGCACAACATCGAACACAACCAAATTGCTTCTGCAAATTTCGGAATTTGAAAAAGTGTCTAAAAGTTGCATTGCTAAAAAATCACATAATCTTCCAAATAATCCTTCATTATTCCATATGCTTGAACATGCATATCACGGTGTTCAGTAAGAATTGAATCAGTATCAGGTTGTACAGGGCGATGCCTCCCACTATCTGTAAAAGAATTATTTGTAACGATTCCACTTTGATGAAGTATACAAACGATGAATAGAAACAATCCGGAATTTAGGTTTCTTACCTGCGTAAGGAGAGCCGCATTCGGTTTGAGCAGTTTCGCAGAGAATATGTCCTCGTGGTGCAACAACTGCAGTGAAAAAATCTCTACCTGTAATTTAATAGAACATTTATCTTTGGAAGAGTTAATGAAAAAAATTAGTAATAATATTGCAAAGCACAAAATAGATTTAGATCAAAGTGGTTGCGTAAACATTCAATTGGTTGTGAACTTATTTAATGCATAGCATCAGCTGGAGCAGTGAACAATTGTGTCTGAGGAAACGCAGTGCACGGGCGTGCAGCGGTAAGTAGTTTACAGGCGCTGCAGTCTGGTCAAGAGCAAAGAAATGTTCCTAAGTTTCTCAAAGCTCCAAATACTGCAACATTAATTACTAGATGTGTTTTAAATTACCTCGCGTTTCATAGTCATATCGGACACCTCGCCTAAGACGTCGTACAGAGTAACGCGAATTTTTACGGCCTGACTGGTCGCTGATTCGCAGGCCCAAATTAGCAAGGCGTACTTGCAGAAGTGAAAAACGGCGGAAGAGATATATGGTAAGTACCAAAAGCTTAAGTAGCTCACCCCGTTCTCCCCCCCATTCATCCGCAATATAAAGAAATACATATTGAAGGTAACACTGACGAACGTAATACATGTTGCTATGGTAATTCGTAGAAAAAACGTTTTATTTAACAGCTGCACGACATTACTAATTAATAGGTGTTTCTCCTCGAAGCTCTTCAACTTTGTCAACAATGAAGGGGTATTCTGCCCGTTACGCAGAAATTTCTGACTGGTAGGTTTTTTTAATTGATATATATCTTCGTTGACTTTCGAGAAGCAAGCTTTTAGAACACACGCGCAATTTATGTAGAACATTTCCATGGAGACGGTGCTTAGCGCGGTAGAAAACGAAGCTAAATTCCTTATCGTCATATGTGTATCAGCAGTAAAGCAATTTGGTAAGTGACTTATAACAAATAAAAATATTCCGATGTCCTTTGCGTGGATAAATTTCGCCAAATCGTTGAAATCCTTTGGAGTCAACATAGAGGATATATTCAGCATAGCCTGAAGCAGGTACAGTTTTGCTCTGGTTTGAAAGTGCGTTATCAAGATGATAGTTGTCATCATGAAGAAGTAAAAATGCTGATGAATTATTTTGGGTATGGTATTGACCGTCGCTATGCCCACAATTAATAGATACTCAATGGAGATTAACATGCTCAAAAACAGGGTCGCCGTGATCATACAACGTATGAAACGAGTCCTTGAAATTGAATATCCTGAAGGTCCGCATTTGTAAGGAAAAATTCCAAGTATATCACACATGAGGAAGCAGGGATACATCAATGAATCGAAATCCGTAGCGTGAAATGGTCTCCATTTCTTGCGTTCCTTAAATCCGTTCGTCTTCGTCCAAGCTTCAGTCATCGTTTTTTCACAACTTCGTAAGTTAAAGCAAAAGAAACTTGATATTACTCGCGCAAATTTCCAACTAAAGAATGCTAACTGTAAAAATACCTCCTGGTAATGAAAATGGATAGACTGTTAATATTTTTTATGACTCGAAGATAATGGTGCATGACAACTTAAACGATTGTCTTGATAATGCATATAAAACTAAAAAAAGGAAGTCCAATAACGCAAGAAGTAACGTGGATAAATAATTCAGGGGTACGTCAATTTTTAAAAGATTGTCGTACATGTTGTTCGTTGTATAGTTTGTCGAATGCTTTTAGCGTGATTAAAGATGAAACTTCAGTTTATAATTAATTCCATAGGAAAATTGCGTTCGCCACGAATTGATCGTTTATTTCGCGCAACACGAGATCGTCAGAGAAAAACTCCTCAACATGGCTTTACCAACAGAAATTGTATGAGTATTAGCACGTTGGTGGTTATCGAACATATTAGCTGCAAGGAAAAGCACAATTAGTAGAGTTGAATTTTCGTTATGAATCAGATTTACTTACCTTCGTCGCAATGGTGGCGTCTATCGGAAGACCCAATGCCTGAAATGCGTTCTCGCTCTGCAGCGCTTGCAAAGAAAATAACTGTAACTGTACGGATAAAAATGACAGGATTATATGTTAAAGTTCAAGCAGTTTCAATAGTTCCAAATGTCTATCACTTGCTTTACCTCCGTTGTCATTTGTTCGTCAAAAGTGTTCACGACAATTCGGTGAATGTTGTAGCCAATCTTCTGTGCCTCATCCTTGGTTATCTCAACAGTCCAAATAATTACGACGATATTAAAGGAGTGATAAATGACATACTCATTAAAACCGATGAACCATGTTGTAGTGATATCACTTTGGAAGGAAAATACTATATGATGGTACACATTGAATGTGATATCGACGAACAGAAGCAAGAGTGCAAAGATATTTTGTATGCCGTACGTTTCGTTGATCAAACTGACAACACTGCTAATTGCTAAATGTTGTTTCTTAAGGCTCCTCAGTTCCGAGAGCAACATAGGATTTGTCTGCGAGCGATACATTCTTCGAAGAAGATGTGGTTCATCCTTTATCAGCACTGAATTTATTTTCTCTAGAGAATTATTTATTCTCTCGAAACAAGCTTTCAATACATACACGTTGTTTACGTACAAAGCGTTCGCCGTAATCACCGTTAAAAATGTGTACCAAGTGATAGTGCCAACGAACGGAATCTCCCATAATGTACTGACGGGTAGTATATATAACACATATGGAATTAATTGACACGCATCCTTTATGTAAATCATTTTGGCTAATTTACGCATGGTTCTTGGTGGCAACAAATCAGACACGTCCGCCACCTTCTGAATCATCTGTACAACTGAATCGTTCGAATATAGACACCACAGAATGGTTATAGGACTCAAAATTGTAATAAAATTGCTATGTATAATCATGGATGCTTCAGTCAATGCGCTACTAAAATTAATCATATATACACACACCAATATATTGATTACTACGAAAAGGACCATGAAGATCACGTGTAAATGAAAACGGGACTTCGGTGCAACATATCTCGACTGTTCCATTTTGCAACGCAAAATTCCCACGAGCACATTCAACCAGATGCAATGACGCATCAGTGACTTATAATTTGTAGCGTTAAACAGGTTCCATATTTTGCTGCCTTTAGTTTTCTCTTCTTCGTTTTTCAGTTGCTCGATCATTTCGAGAACGTTGAAGGGTTCTGGAATCAAACTAAATGCTTGCCTTCTTCTTAGAGACTGCCTGTTTTACTGTCGCGGAAGAAGTATATAATGTTTTATTCGATATACAGGAGAACCATTTGTTAGACTGCTATCACTCAATACATTAGTGACATTTAATCACTCTGAAATCTATGTGAACGATCTAGAAATGAAAGGAAAATATCCACTAATGAAAATATCATCCATACTGTTTCCATTATTTGATTAGGTCTTCAACGTGACAGTAGATGCGACAAACTACATTAATTCGTTAATATTCTAAGTTGTATAAATATTTCATTGCGGCTCCTACGACCACTTTTTTTCTGTTTGCTATTTTACACTCAAAGTGTGAAGGCGGAACTTTGAACCTGTACTCTGGAAATTTGAAGCGTTATCTAAAATTCTTGAAAGATACATTATATACAATCGAGTCGAAAAATGATCGTTTTCGATTTATTATCTTACAATATCAAGTAACAGTTGCATTATCTTGATTACAACCAATCGATACAGTTAATACGAAGTAAACTATTTTATCGACACTATCTGCTCTTATCCGATATTTGTGTCGACATTTGTTGCAAAGTATTATTAGAGATATTTTAGAAGTTATTCTCTGAAGTACCTAAGTATCCATACTTTGAAATATCAGATTTTCCATTTTTATTTTAAATCTCATAATATTTTTGTATCTGCAATCGGACAAATAGTGACGACAAATTAGGTTAAAATAATATTTGTTACTTGTAAGAAATTAATCGAATTAAAAATTTCCGTTCATAGCTACGTACTATCGCTATTTTCTCAATTAAAAGCATAGCATTTGACGTCAATGAATACTATGCGTAGTTCATTTTATCGACTTCCTGTGCTTACTGTTGTTGTTAGATAAAAACACTTTTTTATCTGTGATATCACAGTTTGTCATTGAATTTTTTATTTCTAAATAAAACAACCATTTTGAAGGGGTTAAGGTGCCAGAAGTATTAACGTCGCAATAAATTGGTATTTTATAACAAAAAACGTGAGCAAAAATAATTAATTTTTATAATTTGATAATAAGATAGAAAATCTAATCAATAAATCAACTTCGTTTAAACTGCACGTGACATAATTCCATAACTTTATTTGTTTTTTTATTATTAATTTAAATTTTTATACGGTTCATTTTCATAATTTTGCGCATTATTATGTGGTTTGAACGCATTTGGTTTATGAAGCGCATCTATAAACGCATTTGTTCGTGACAAACTGTTGTATTGTCGACTAGGTTAGGTACAATTAGGTATACGTGAGTACATGTCCCGCCAACAAGCGCTGAGTCAAACTGTAGTATGAGTGACTGATTTGCGGAACAATTTGAATTCATGTTATTTCGATGCTGTAATCGTGTAATTTTATATAAAACTCAGAAAATAATCTACAATGATTACTTAACTACTTATTTCTTATTAACAAGATAACTGTAACAATTGTCAATATGAGCAATAGCTACATTAACAAAGGAATTATTTCTTATATGTATTTAGAAAATTTTGTGTAAGTATTACCTTAAAATATTTTGTCAATATTTGTAAGATATGTACATGTAAAATGTTCATTTTGTTCCAGAACTTATAGTAGTGTTTCTATAAAACCTGGTAAAAATTTAAATGTAATTATTGGTCCCAATGGCACTGGTAAATCTACAATTGTTTGTGCCATTGTTATTGGATTGGGCGGTAAACTCACTACCATTGGGCGTGCAACTCATGTTGCGGATTACGTGAAATCAGGTTGTGAAGAAGCGAAGATTGAAATACATCTTACGAATGGAGTAAAGGATGATGTCATCATTTGCAGAATGTTCAATATACGGGGAAAATCTTCGTGGTTACTCAATGGAACTTCTTCGAATATTAAAGAGATTCAAAATCTAACGAAGACTTTTAATATTCAGGTATTTATATTCACTTTGTGTTAATATGATGTAACATTCTTCATTATCTATTTCATTTTTAGATAGATAATCTTTGTCAATTTCTACCGCAAGATAAAGTTCAGGATTTTTCAAAAATGAATGCACAAGAATTATTAGAGAATACAGAGCGATCAGTAGGTGATCCTATAATACTTGAACATCATATGAACTTGATAAAATACAGATCCGAACATAAAGAGTTGCAGACACGGATAGCAAGTAAAAAACGAGTATTAGAATCGAAGAATCAGATATATGAAGGACTTAAAGAAAGTGTTAGCAGTATAAAAGAAAGGAAATTAATAAAGAAAAAAATTATTTCTTTAAAACAAAAAAAGGCATGGATACTGTATGAACAAAAACGTAGAGAAGTAGCTAAGGTAAAATATAAAATAAAGTAAGCTTTGGAAATCTTTCCATTGCTTTCAATCCGAATATCCAAATATTTTATACTTATGCACTCTTGCAGTTGCAAAGCAAAAAGGAAACTGCGAAGCAACAAGTGGTATCTTTAGAATCAGAAATGAAACCTATTAATGATTTAATAGAAAAGATAAAATCAAAAATTCGTTTGCTTCAGACGTCTGTATCAGAGTTTGTAAGTCTGCATATATTAAACTATTATATGACAATATGTATTGTAAGTATCTTATAATATACTACATTTTAGAATAGCAAAGTCAAAATTAAGACCACAAAGCTGAGAGGGATGTTGGATGATATTTTGGGATGTGAAAACCGAATTAAGGAATACGAAAATGCATGTAAACAAAGGATTCAAGTGGAAGAAGCTCGAGACTCCGATCTTGATGTAGCAAAGAAGCAAAAAAGTAAACTTGACAATGATTTAGCTTTGATATTGAAAGAAATTGGATCAGGTGAGCTTACATTTTAATTTTACTGATGTTTCTTTAATTAAAAGATATGAAACTCAAATTGTATTATGTTTTACAGAGGAAACACTAACAAAACTGCAACAGGAAATAACATCCTTAATAGATAAGCAAAGAAGTACCATTGCCATGCTAACAAGCAAACATTCTGCCATGAAACAACGAGACGAACGTTTGAATCTTGATGTCAGAGGTGAATCTACTGCTTTCATGTAATATATAATTAATGTAAAAAAATTTATTATTAATTTCTTTAATTATTAAAATTTGCAGCCCAGGAATCAGAATTACAACTGCTTAATATCGATACTAAACGATTGCAATTATTACGAGAGAGATCGATGGATACATATAAAGCAGTACAATGGTTAAGAGAGAATCGTAACAAGTTTTCTGGTATAATTCATGAACCAATATTACTGAACTTAAATGTAAAAGACGTCAAATATGCGAAATATTTAGAGAATGTTATCCCATATCGTGATTTAATCGCATTTGTTTGTGAAAACAAAAAAGATATGAATTTATTGTTACGTTGTTTAAGAGATGAGCAGAAACTACAAGTAAATGCTGTACATTCCGATCCTATGAAACAAGTTTTTATGCAGCCAAATGTTCCTTTGGAAAACATTAAACAGTTTGGTTTCACCAACTATTTAGTATCGTTAGTCGAAGCACCGAGTACGATTATGAAATATTTAGTAACTATGTACAATTTAAATAATATACCCATAGGAACCAATCGTGTTGATGATAACATTGATTTTATACCTCACAAAATATCTCGCTACTTCAGCGGTGAGTAAAATTTGTACTGATTAAAATATTCTTTTATTGATTCATTAATTGATTTACTTATTAATTTTTTTCAGAAAATAAAATGTATTTAGTTAATAGATCTAAATACTCAGGGGAGAAGTCTACCACGATGCGAACAATTTCAGGCAATAGAATGTTATCTATTGTATTAGATAAATCTAAGTTATCACATATTGAACAAAAGTCTGTTGCAAATTGAAAACACCTAACAATATTATAATTACAAATAATTTATAATTGAAGTATGCTTTTAGGTTGAAAATGTTACGAGCAGAAAAAATTAATATATCCAATCAAATGAAAGAAATTGAAGAGGAGATATGTGGGCAAACCAAAGAGTTAGACAAACATAGAGCTACTAGAAATAAAACTCAGCAAGATTGTCAACAAGTAAATGCTCTAAAATCCAGAATATCTTTAGTGATAAAGAAGATTGAAAGTCTACAAAATGAACGTACCAGTATTGATGAAATAAAACAGTCTTATACTAATAAAATAAAGGTTCTTTATTCGTATTTTATGACACTATTGTGCATTATATGTATTACATACAAGCATTCATATTTGTTCATGTGCATTACAGGAGGTTTTAAATAAGGAATTAAAAATATATGAATCATACAATAAAGAATTGGAGGAATGCTTCAAATACATTACCGACAACGAACAAGCCGAGTTGGCATTAAAACTGCAAAATCGAACTCTTAGAATGAAAGTAAATGATTCTCAGGATTTGAGGGATAAGCTTAAAGTAGCAGAAGACAAAGTACGACAAATTACCTCGGAAATGCAACCAATGAAAAATGAAATACAAAGGCTGTACAAAGAAGCGTTAGAAACTACCAATGGTATTAGTCCTACTGACGAAGCATTCGCGCCCATAAACAAGATTTTTAATAAGTTGCCACTAACTGTCGAAGAAATTAATAATGAGCTAAATATCGCACAAGCAAAAGTTTTTTGTATGGGAAACAATATGGACGGTGAAAGTGTAAGTAGACGAATAAATTATAAATCTATTGAATTAAATAATATTAATTAATGTTTTTTAATTATAGATATTACGTGAATACGAGGAAGTCGAGAAGGATATTGGGAACTTAAAGGAATTTATTCAGGAAAGTTCGCAACAGTTAGAAACACTTGAAAAAACGATGAACACGACGAAAGAAGAATGGCTAAGACCCTTGTCGCAAATTGTAGACAAAATCAATTCAAACTTCAGCACATATTTCTCTGCAATGGATTGTGCTGGCGAGGTTACATTGTTTGCGCCGGACAATATCGTGAGTTATTACAAAACATATAGAACTAGATTATGTATTTATTATTTAAGTTGCAATAGGACTAATTTGTATTTATAGATGGAGTTCGATCAGTATGGTCTAAAAATTAAAGTAAAGTTTAGAAATACTGATCAGTTACATGAATTAACAAGACATCATCAAAGTGGTGGAGAGAGAGCAGTAACCACTGCTATTTTCATGATTGCTCTACAGGAACTAACTAGAGTACCTTTCCGATGCGTCGATGAAATCAATCAGGTACTTTTAACATGTAATCAACATTCTTGCTACTTGCTAATCTCGTCATTCTTCGTTTTTATTTAAGGGTATGGATGCAGTAAATGAAAGACGAGTATTCAATTTACTTGTGCAAATGACCGGTAGACCAAATAGTTCTCAGTATTTTCTACTTACTCCAAAAGTTAGTATATCTCTTTTTTCTTACACATAACATTAGTTACTTTATTGATAATGCTGTATTCATTTCTTTATTTAGCTATTACCTAACTTGCAATATTCCGAAACCGTGAGAGTGCACTGTGTTTTTAATGGACCATTCATGATCAACCATACACAGTTTGATACTGAAGAATACTGCAAACATGTTGTTGCAATGTTGGAAAAAGAGAATATTGATGATTAATCGCTAATGTTTTCGTGTTGTCGGATGTATTTATAAGGTTGAATAGTTCTACAGTATGTAAATTAAAGTTGTATGGTTATTCATAGTTCGTATATTTTTGCATATTGTTTAAATGAAGTCTAATTATATAAACAGAATATATATATTTTGTGAATACTTTGTGATAGAGATGTCTGAAATTCACTTCTTCTTTCCTTTCTTCTTTTTCTTCTTCTGAGCTTCTGGCCAAGGAAATCCTCTGCATTTTAAGACATCCATGATATTGTGACAAGTGTAGTAAGCATTTTCCATGGCTTCTTCATTGAAGATATCCATGGTGAACTTTGCTCTTCCACCACTTTTTCTGGATTTCTTTGTACCTTTACTTTTATCACCGTTATTATTTTTGCCATTTTTACCCTTCTTCCCATTCTTGCCATTGTTTTTCACGGGTTTCTTTTTATTTTTGCCCCTCATTTCAAATTAAAATTAAACTTTGTCAGAAAAGTTAATGAGCCTTACTACCAGATAAACTGCCAATGCAATTCGTTACTATACTCAGTTACTTCGATAATGGTTGCTATGACTTCAGTTACATCCGTAATATTGATTTCACGAGAAAAAGATACAGACTACAGAATCTTCACGTATAATTATTTTTTCTTTTCAAAACTGCGCAATATTTAAATCGGAATTAACTCCCAGCTTTTCCATCATGCTATCTGTTATCATGACACGATAAACGAATACACATTCTTTATCGATGCGATTAAACTTTTCTAGAAACATTCCGCACATTACAGAAAAACTGAACAACTATGAAATAAATCGAACAAAGTTGTTCCCGCCAATTGTGTAACTATAATAATTACAAATATCGATCGACGTGTACGACATTTAAATATGGAGTCGAAAATCATATTCATATCGATCGACTATCGAAGTGAGTATACATATCGATCCAACGAATAAATCGAACGACCTTGACCTCAACGACGTATCAAGTATTCTCGTGATGTGGTCGTGTGAAATTAAAAGGTCAGTGACACATAAGACACGATATTTCGTGATTTTCTTCGCGAAGTGTCTAGAGCCTTGAGAAACGTTCACTTATGTTTCGACTCTAAAACGCGTGTCTTAAAAATCCGGAAGTATTTCTTAATTAAAGACAACAATTATTTGTACTTCAAAATAAAGTTTAACCAAACAACTCTAAAATTGTTTATTGATATCTTAAAATCAATAGCGTTGTACATTACACTATACATATATACAACATAAAAAATAAATTTGTTTAAAATGTGATCTAAACACTTTAACAAACTTATTAGCATTAATTTGTATATACAATTATATAAAAGTGAAACAAGTGTGTATATATCGAGATATTGGGGTTAGATTAGGTCAAGCTAAAGTAGAATGGAGTTAGGTTAGGCCAGCAAAAGGTGTGGGCGGAGTAACGTAGCGCGGTTAGATCACAGTTGGGTTAGGTCATGATCGAGTTAGGCCGTGGTTAGGGTAATAATACATGTTATTGACAGGTGAAAGAAGAGGTGGAAGATGGACATATAGCTCGTATATGCATCACCCTAAAATGGTTAGCGGATTCTGAATACCAGTAAGTGCAAACTGGCCCCACAACCGCGACTGCATTTCATGGCCTGCATTCGAACGGTGTCTCTCACCGAGTTGCATTTATACTCCGAACAGAATTGTCGAAGTTTCATTTCTACTCGGTGTGTCTGTTAGCTGCATTCGTGCTTTAATTCGTATCAAAGTTTCGAGCGGCACGGACAGATGGAGGTTCTGCGAACTTAACTATTGATAGGCACGCGCAAATCGACCGTCAAGAAGTACCGGTAAAACAAACGCGAGATAGTCGCATACAGTCATTGCCGCGAGTATCACGTTCTTGAACATCAGTGGATTTAAGAAGCGTACCTCCTCGAGCGTGTACACGTTGCTTCGTGCGTGTGGTTCAACGTGAACGAACAGTCGGACTTTCTTTCTCAAGCGTCGATACAACATATTGGCGTAGAACATAACGAAAATAGAATTTTTGTGACATAACACATAGCAACAGGGAAAAATGTCCACGGCACTGTTGGCCGTGTTCGCCGTGATCCTATGCATCCTGTTCAGGATATTAAACGTAAACAGTTCACCACAGAAGCCATTGATAATTTGTCAGGATCAGTCGTTTCTCACGACGATTCTTAAAATCGCACCTGTTATCGCAGAACCGTAAGTTTTCATCGCTTTTGTTATATCATAAAACATTCTGTGCATTTTAACTGTATAACAGTGCTTTCTGTTCTATGGTGTCCAGAGAAACCAGAAAAAAGTGAGGTTAGGTTCAATCCAGGACGCCGGGATATTTTTCATATATAGATATGTCCCCCTTTGTAGCAACCAGATGTGGCAGATACTGTTCGCAGCTCATTAATTCGTACAAATTTATAGCGTTTACGATGACATAAAACTTGAGAACGTCGTGAAACGTTTTATCTGATCGATAGTATCGAAAATTCGCGAAGGGTGTCAGAAATAATCGAAAGGTAAAAGGCGTTGTTGTTAATGAACGATTAGCTCGGGTGTGATCTAGTTTTCACTAATAGACAATGACCCTATCAGTCTTTCAAATCGTGTCACGAGAAACGTATCGCAAACGATCGAGTATTGATGTACTTTATCGCATAGTTCGCGATAATTTCATTTTGGAAATTCTGGAATTCAATAGGTTTCAAACATATTTATGATTAAACACACGCTCTTAGAATTCATATCATTTAAGCGTCTACTTTGTACATCGCTCGAAGTAGAGAAGACATTTGCAACATTGCACTTTCTATTATAAATAAGAATAACAGAAAACAGTTCTACATTTCCTCGCTAAAATATTCAAGAACGCGATAGCATGAGCTGAATCGTGAACGCTATAAATTTTAAATCGAATTTCAATACACAGGTGATATAAACTTATCTTCAATCTTTGTAGTTTGGGTTCTTAGTAACAGGTGTTTGCAAAAAAATTCGGCGAATTGTCACCACATTTCGAGTAAGATTTAAGGAATTATTTAATCAATAGATTACACTGTAGATAATCTATTTCAGTACTTTCGGAAGCAATACGATTTAAAAATAGACATATGGGGTGGTTTCTAATTAGCTACATGCTACGTAAGTATTACGTTAATCGCGAGTTTAAAATTACGTTCAGATTCTTGTGGAAATTTCGTGAACGATCGTTTCCCATGTCCCAAATGTATTCGCATTCTAATTAGACGTTCGAAACGTGCAAAAATAAACTTGCTAATTTACATCTTTTTTGTTATTATTTTTTAAGTTCTGAGACAATCGTTTAAAGATGATCAAAACCTCGGTTAAATTTATTTTTTAACACATGCGTAATAATTCTTAAAGATCGGTAACGATCTTTGAAAGACTTATAAAGTGAGATAATTATTACATCGGATGGAAATGAATGTTTGAACATACATAATCGGGAGAATTATACGATTAATGTAACCGGTAGCATTGTACTTCCATTTTGAGTATTGCATAATTAGTTTGGTTCTGATCTTGGCTATGACCTCATTGTAACAAACGCTTCAGTATGCCTGCATCACAGTTATCGGTAGATTGTGACTAATACGACGTTATCTTCCAACGTGGCAGAAATTTATCTCGAAGATAATTGATGAATCACTTCGCTTGTTATTATATTTTTCATATGCAAAATTCCGAGGACACGAATAATTTAAACAAGAACTATTACGTAAATAATTTAAAAATATTCATGCATACATTTCTGTATTCCTGATAAAGATTTTTTAGCATCTTCTGATACAAGATGATATTGAAGCAGCTTGTCAGATGATAAAACCGAATGCAACTTGCATATAACAAAAAAGATTGTTCACCATGTTGAAGCTTCAACAAAATTTTAAGACCGTGAAATTTCAAATTGTTTAGACTTTGTTTAAGAAATTTGATTTTGTGACTTAGAAATTTTTTTGAGCACCGAAACTTTGAAACTTAAGAAAGTTAACTCTGAGACTGAAATATCGAAACTTCTGTACTTAAGAGTTTCGAAATTTCCGGATCTTGCATACACTTGATCGATGCACCCTTTCAAACGTATGCGTCACGATAGACCCACGTATCGTCGTTCGAGTATTAAATGATAAGTTTACGCAAGGATGATATCTCGATTTCACGTCGATGTTTGTCATTGCGAAAAATGGGGATTTCATTTTTTACACGGAAGTAAAAGCGAAAGCAACGATATTGCTAGGAAACACGATCACGCGATTGAGTGCAGGAAGTCTTTTCCATGGAGATACACTGACTGAATAGCTAGGCTATTGCTTGGTATCGATTCGCCTGGCATTAACAGTGGCTTGAGAAGTATTTGTACTAAATCGACAAAATGACTAATTTACGATATAAGACGTATATACTTTCAGAGAAACAAATGTCTTAATAATTATTTATAATACAAAGGCGTTCGTTTTTCTGTTCCTCGAATGAACACACGATTCTTCGAATAATCGTATTTCTTCAAGAGCTGTGAAATAAGGATTCTAAAGCCGTTTAATGAAATGTATACATTCCATCTTTGAATACGTAAAACAACACGTCGAAGTGGCACATCAAGCCTCGCTAATCATTAATCATGTCTCTTTTTCTTCCTTTTGAGGTCGTACGAGCAAATAATTTGATTAAAAGTACACTGTAGATTGGTAATTATCTCTTTTATTCGTGCAATAACTCATTTATTTACATTCGGATTGCCCAAAAAGATGTGCAAAGTTTAAGATATTTTGGGTGCTGGAAATTTTCAAATTTTCTTAAGATTTATTCCCAACACTCAGAAATTGAAACTGCAAATTTCTACAGTTCTAAAATTCCAAATCACAAAAATTGAAGGATTCAAAAATCTTCTCAAGTAATATCGTATGAGGTCGATGCATTGATCATATGCAACACCTTTTACACGTGGAAGCATTCTTATGTATAATTCAGCCTTCATTCTTATCTTCGTTTATCAGAAATGCTCCCTCTTTGTTTCGTCTCTAAATATAGCAAGATTAATGCTTACCTTCTCACGAATTACTCTTTCTTTTTAATTAACTACTCCATTTTCTTCTTCCTTATTAATAATTCATCGCTTTACTCACTTTCATCGTTCCAAGCAAACTTTAGTTTGCTTTTCCTTGATCGACTGTTTGCTTACATTCAAAATAACTCTATCGTTATTACCAGTATGTAGTACTTTTCACGTTTTACGATAGTGAACAATGTTATCGTTCCATTTTAATTTCCTGCTTCGTGAACCACGTTATCGTAATACGGCGCAAGAGGAATAAGTTTAATATTTCCGTTTTGATCGATTATACTTTGTCCATGACTTTGTACGCTCGCAGGTTGTATAAACATCTAAGAAATGTAGCCATTGTATGTTTGCAATAACTCTTCTGCTCCTACGACAACCATCGCTCAAAATCGTAAATAATTGATCAACAATGCAAAGCGTTTCTATTTTAAAACGAGGATGTTTGCGATGGAAATTTTCACACGAACATCGCAAAAAAATTACTTCGTGTAAACACAATTTTATCAATAAATTTATCTTATCTATATTCAAATGAGATTACTATAGAAATGCATGGATTTTGCGAGCGAAAGGGGCAAAGAAATCTGTCACACGATTATAACAGTAATTATAAAGTGAATAGAAGCAAAAGAAATTTTTTCCTTCACCGAGATCTCGCTCTTCAATTAAGCTTTAATCACCACTCTCGTTACGCGTGCAATGTTTCTCTGTATCGTCAGTTTCTCTCTTACGATTATCGTAACCTCTTTACGAATAAATACACTTTTAAGATTTCTTTGAAAAGTCTTATTGTATGATAGAAAAATAGAAAAATATTGTTAAACTCTCAGATTTGACAATTATGAGAAACATTTCCTTTGGTTTTCCTTGTGAAATGACGCAAAGGGAATCTCACTTGGTATACTATCGGTCGTTGAGTATGATAATATTACGTGTCAGAGATTATGCGTGGTAACTCGAGTATTACAACGCATGGTAATAGAATGCGTTGTAACATAACGCATGATAGTGTGGCACGTGGGTGCATAATGTAGTAATACTCTTCAAAGTTTCAAAACCTCAGTCTCAAAGCTTAAACATTTTTTAAATTGAGAGTCTTGATGGTCTCAAAGCTTAACAACTTTTTAAATTGATAGTCTTGATGGTCTCAAAACTTAACAATTTTTTAAATTGAAAGTCTTGGTGGTCTCAGAGCTTAACAATTTTTTAAATTGAAAGTCTTGATGGTCTCAAAGCTTAACAATTTTGTAAATTGAGAGTCTTGATGGTCTCTAAGCTTAACAATTTTTTAAATTGATAATCTTGATGGTCTTAGAGCTTAACAATTTTTTAAATTGAAAGTCTTGATGGTCTTAGTGCTTAACAATTTTTTAAATTGAAAGTCTTGATGGTCCCAAAGCTTAACAATTTTTATAAATTGAAAATCTTGATGGTTTCAAAGCTTAACAATTTTTTAAATTGAAAGTCTTGATGGTCTCAGAGCTTAACAATTTTTTAAATTGAAAATCTTGATGGTTTCAAAGTGTATCTACTCTAAATTCTCGATCCTCAGGTTCTAGATGTCCCAAAAAATAACCTTTCTCTACATCCTCAGGAAAATGAAACACACGAGTTTACGTGAATGAGTTTCACTTCGAGTGATTTCACGGTCGTCGACGATGTAAGTTACCTGTAAAAAGAATTTGCATTATATGCAGATGTGAAAGTAATTTCTCAAAATTATAGTTAGCAAAAGGTTGCTAAAAAGAATTTTAAATGTAGCATGTACTATACGTGAGTCATCAAACCTAATTCGACCCTGAACAGAGTATTCTCTGTGATCTTCAGGATCAAGGTTACGTTTTGATTCATCAGTCGCCTATTCGCTGTGTGCACAGTGGCAATTTAGCACATTGAGTAAAGCGGAGAAAAAGGCTTTTATTAGGCGTAGAATTATGTTCCATAATTTACGGATACCGTAAAGTAACGGACAAACAAAAATACGACACGAAGAATTTAGGACGATAGCTACTTTCGTGCAATCGAATATTATAATGACACTTTTTGACCCACTTTTCACGTTTTACCCTGAAACCTTTAATTTCATGCTTAGCGTGTTTACACGGCCCGAGCTGTAACAAGTTCAAGGGTATCGGAATATTTCTGTCGCTTTAAAATGCAGGAGGAAATAGTCTCTTGCGTGATGGAGAGCTTTTCAATCTTTATTTAAACAAATACATAGAATGGAACATATGCGTCATAGATCGAAGTCGATAACTTATCAACATACGAGACGACTCATGTTTTTATAAACATGATAAAATTTTGAACAGATTCATGGAAAAATTTAGAGATAGCTAAAAGTTGAATAAACCTGAATTTGTAGCAGCAAGTGCACTTAGTATTTTTTCCTGGTAACCTGATTTGTGCTCCAACTCGTAAAACTTGAAAATAAAGCGGTATTCATAGCAAAAAAGTGGAAGACCCAATGGGTTACATGTACAGGTAGAAACTATGGGGTTTTATACTTGGTTTCCTTCAACAAGAAAGTAAATACGCAATTCTTTCTAAAGATTCCTCGTCTTCTTTTAACTTGACCTCCCGTAACACGGTTTATTCGACACTTCGAGGAATATTTCTTTTTCGGAGGTGAACATTTAATAAATCTCTTCATGGAAACAGTCAAAACGTTTCGCAGAAATTTTACGAGGTTCTCAAGAAATTTAATGTCCCTTCTTTTCGAGTGCTCCAGTGATCCACTGAAAGTCCTCAATTATCCGTTTCCCGTTAAACTTCATTTAGTGTGCGTCTATTTAAGGGGCAAAAATCGAGAAGTTAGAAGAAAGAGGCACACTTTCACGTTGCGTACCGTACTAGTTCTCAGACTAGTTCAGTTGAAGAAACAAAATTATGGTTACTTTGAAATTTTACTACTTTGCGTTGCGATAATAATACGAGCTTAAAAATAATTTACGACTCTGGTTTCTCTGGATATAGGTTACCTGGTACCCCTTTCTTGAACGAATACAGAGAATTGTTGTATGGTACTTTTAATTTTATGGACGTTTTATGTACACCTGTCTCGTCACAATGAAATCATAAAAGCTTGGAAAGCACCGTCTTAGAGTTATAGAGCTCGTTTGTACCATGTTTCTATGTTGCAGATATAAGCCAACAAGGCTATGGGGTTTCAGTGGCCACGTACAAACTATCGTTCACAGTATTATTGGGCGCGTCCGTTGCCCTTGGCCAATTGGGGAACGAGTGTACATCACACTTCAGGATGAAACCACTCTCACCTACGATCTTTATCAACCGTTGACCAACGACTACGAAGGTCTGTTCTTCATGAAAACTAATTACAAATCCCATAACTCGAGATATATAATTTTTTCTACTATTTAATCATGTTTGTTTCATCCTAAAAAATTATTATTGGATTAATCAGGTGAGATATCTGTTACTTAATTGTACCAGAAGAAAATATAAAAAAACGTAGTACAACAAAAGAATTAATTAACGCGCTTTGATAAAACGATATCTATTCTGATATAATCTTTGATATAGACTAACGCCGTAGATAAGCGCCGCTATAATTACTACAGTCAGTAGAAAAGCGTGATAACAAAGATACATTGTAGAACAATTGATGAATTTTTATTAAGCGTATGTTAGCAAAAGGTTTTCAATTATATCGTACTGTCTCATAAATATTTCAAATGAGTTAGACTTGTGCGTTGTACCGAATCAATTTCAATGAATAACTTACTCGCTACTATACACATAGATTATCATTAAAAGAACGTTGTAGTTCATTGGCGTAGCTGCTGAGGCCCTGGTTCTCTCAAAACAAAGATTAGTTTATCACGAAAGACATTGAACATGGATAGGTTATACTAGATAACTCATACTGGCAATTTAGAAATACATTTCTAGACGAACTTGCAGACATAAGTAATAATCTTGCACAAGTTCTCAAAGATTCGAAGTCTCGACATTTATCACATGTTTTTACTTCCAAGTTAAAAAATTGTAAACTATCTTCAAAGAAGACGTAAATTCTTGTATAACATCGATTTACTTTAACGCGTTTTAAAGATGCTATTCAACTGCGTTGAACATCAGGATATTTTTTACCGCTTTCGTTTCACTGCAGATGATGTCACGATCGCTATTTGTCCCGGGATCTGCAACAGTTCCGAAAGTGTTTACATAAGAACCTTCGTACACTTTGTGCAATGCCATGGATATCGATGTGCAGTTCTCAATCATGTCGGCGTTCTGTCCAGTGTAAAGGTCACTGCGCCACGAATTTTTACATATGGTACGTGCCAACTCATGTTCTGTCTGCAGAATATACTTTCGTAATCCTGGAAATTGTTGAAACCGATAATTTGATCATTGAGTTACAGTTCACGCTTCTTCGTGGAGTTTACGACTATCGAGCATAAACGATGTCCTTTAATTCCCTCTAATTGCACTATACTTACGTAAATAAATACATGCGATTAGTAGAAAAAATTAAAGGTTATTAGTACACTTCTAACTGCTAATTAAACACGTTCACAATCAACATAATTGTACACTTTAAGTGTTTATCGCGCTAAATTTAGATTTTGCAACCTATAAACTTTGAGACTTAAGATTTTTTATATGAAAAGAACACGTAACTAAACAATAGACATAAGTCTTGATGTACTCAAATTTAAGAGTTTCTGTATGTATGGAAAGAGGAAGATAATACAACTTGACCTGGATTTTAATGACTTCTAAAAGGACATCGCTTACGCACGATAGTCTTGAATAATATTAACTTCAAGAGTCTAGGTCATGACACTCTCAAGGATCTCGTGTTGCCGTTTAACCGGCGAGGCGTTAATTGAATTTGTGATTGAATCTTGGCTGGGCCTAAACTTTACAGGACACACCGACGATTACCACACGATGATACAGAGTTTGGTGGAAAAGCATCCGAGTACAAAAATTATTTGCGTTGGGTTTAGCTTGGGCGGTAACCTCGTGACTAAGTATTTAGGAGAACGAGGATCGAATAAATTATCCAACATTATCGGCGGTATATCTATCTGCCAAGGATATAATGCCCTTGAGTGAGTAAAAGTTATTTTAGTGATATATAACATCGCTACTAATAGATGGTTCATTAACTGCTTCCGTTTTGATTATTATTTTTATAGAGGTACAAAGTTCCTGCTCAACTGGCAAAACTTCAGACGCTTCTATCTCTACATTATGTCGGAATCGGTGAAGAATATTATCTTGAAGCACAAGAACATATTGCTGTCGGATGACGTTAAACAGAAGTACGCTCTAAACGAACGGGATATTATTTCCGCTGCTACGTTACCAGAACTTGATGAAGCTTATACGCGAAAGGTGTGTAATAATAATACACTGTATTCAAAAATTTACACAAGCTTACTCACTGTAACTCGTGAGTTACATAAGTTCTCTTCAAATAACTCCTCTAATTTTTAATGTCACAGGTACACAACTTCAGATCCGTGAAGGAAATGTACAAATGGAGTAGCTGCCTTTTCTATCTAGACAACATTACTACACCCATGGTATTTATCAACGCGTTGGACGACCCTATTGTACCTGAAATGTTGTTAGAGCCCATCAGGGAACATGCCAGTAGGTATAAATATTCTTTCGAATACCACATCGTGGATTCCAGAAGAATTTTCATAAAAGATAAAGTATTATCAGTTCTAAAATTTGTATGTGATTTTGTTTCAGAAAACCACCCTAATACCGTGTACATAGAACTGGCACACGGTGGACATTTAGGATTCTACGAAGGTGGTCTTCTCTACCCAAATCCCATAACATGGTTGGACCGTACATTGGTATCCCTTGTGGGATCACTGACGTTAGCGCATGCAGATAAATCACTGAAAGCCTCTTAACCTGATTTCATTTCATCGTCACAATTATTTCATAAGTAAACTGTTCCGCCGTTAATCGGTGTAGGTCACATTTAAGATCTTGTTAAGAGATCTTGATCAAGAACTAGTAACTGACTACACGTTAACTGTGAAATCCTAACGCATACCGTCGCAGTATTCGCGAGACGGTGTGTATTGTAATCTTGGATTTAAGTTCAGGGAAACAGATAAAAGCTATCTCGACGAAATTCATGGTTTTGACGAATTAACCGGAGAGAATCTAAGAACTTCTTTAAAAATGATGGTAGCACAACTAAAATCTTGACGATGATTTATTTTTCTTCGATGTCCTGATCTTTGACGCTTCTTACTCAGGGATCTTTGATAGGGCGATTTGATAAGAGAACGTTACTGAAATCCTACAATGAAACGTAGAAATCGTACAAAAGATAGCAAAAAAAGAATTGGACGACATTATCGTCATATGAAATGTTCGATCGAAATAAAAGATAGAAATCCCTGCTCCCATTTTTACAGACTGAAAAATTAACAGTTTTTTTATAAAAATAGCTGACTTTTAGCGATGAGACTTATTGAATTAATTAAATGCTATATTTCTACTGCTATTAATAGTACAAAACGATTTCATAAACAAAAGAAAGTTATAATTGCAACAGTTTTTATATTATTTAATCAAATTTTCATGGCTGTATTTCCATAATAATTTTTTCTTCTTTCAAAACTATCTTCTGAAACATCTTGTGCTATTAATAGTAACGAAAATTCTGAATTACAAATCAAATGCAATTAACAGATGTTGCAAAAGTATGAAATGATGTGAAAGCAATTCATACACAAAAGATTTGACTGAATGATTAAAAGCGGGAAACATAGTATTCGTTCTCTCCAGAAAAGTTGCGTTTGCATATCCTGTGTTCAATGATATAGGACAAGTATTGATGCATATTTAATTTATTATTTGTATAGAACATTAACATCAACTTCGTTAACATGGAAAGCATATATGAAGAGTATATTTTTTCTACGATTATATTACTTAGCGTTCACAAGCTGTTTGCAATTTTTCATCTTTTTTTTCAAACGAATTTCATGTGTATATATTTCCATGTTAACAAAGTTTATAAACAAATTTTGCATCGATGAATGCATTTAATGTTGAATTGCAATTAATAATTTATTACTTTTCGAATTGTCTCCAGCGATACCACTATGAGTTATTTTTGGAAATGGTTCATATCGGTGATGGGCAGATCGAATGCCCATTAAAGAATTCACGAGCATCTATGTGCACGGTCGGAGATTCCAAATTTTCAAATTTGAGAAGTTGAACATTCTGTAACTTGAAAATTTGAGGATTTGGAAATGTTAAGGCTTTAACATCCTTGATGTCCGCCACTTACACTCTCGTGCGTCATCTACCATAAATTTATACGATGATAAATATGTTTAAAACTTGGTATCTTAAAAAATCAAAAGATTTTTACTTTTAATTTTCATGACAAAAGTAAAACGGAAACAAAAAGTTGTGGTCCAATTAAAATATCATTCGAGCAATTAACTCATTAAGTGGTTAGCATACAGTTGATGTGACTTAATTATAACGATAAGATAAATCATCGAATTAATTACGAGTACTTTGAAACGATTTGACGTAATTTAGCTTTCTACGAATAGTATTCGTGATCGCGTACGAATATCCCCATAAAAATGCGTATAAGACAATAATATCGCAAATAAACATTTCTTTTTTTGCAACGAAACAGTTACTTAACATCATTAATATTAGTTATCGAATTTAAGTTATTTATTCGTAGCGTAAATTCTACATAGGTGCAACTGATAGCTGTTAGGTTTCCGATAACGATCGGTTCGTTATCACCAGCATATTTTCAGACTGTCGTATATTTAGCATTGTATATAAAGTTACAAAAATTTATATGTGTGGTAACTTACGGATATTTATATAATGTACAATGTAAGAGAATTAAACGAATGGTTGCTAACACAACGGGTCAAATTTACTACACGCGCACATTACATAGAGTTTCGTGAATTTAGACAAATTTTCCTACTGTTTAAGTTGATATGTTAGCTCGAGCGGCAGAAAGTATTGTTCATTTCTTTTCTATCGACTTATAAGCTGATTTCATGTATTCGAATGATGAAATGAATGAAAGTATAGAGAGTCTATACTTAAGCGTACCGCAAAATGTGGCTAAATGTATGTTTGTGTAAACATGAGGTGCTTATAGCAGAAAGTGCCTTAGATTCAGTTCTGCTATCACAATTAGTCAACAATTAAACACCTGTCTGAAAGATCGCAATAGTTGTGACATTATTTTTTCATTAATTGTACGCAATGTAGTTGGATAGATTAGAAATAGATTGTTGTTGTAAGCGTCTTTTGTATTCTATCCGAAGAAGCATTTGTTACTTCCAACTGATTATACTTTGTAACAAATAAGTTATCTGCACTGAAAATAAATCTTCTCAATGGATGGGTACATATCTATACCATTATCTTTTTGATTAGATTAACACTCTTTAGCAATTGTAAACTTTTTACTGAACCCATACTGCCTTCCGATAATGAAAGGAACCACTAGTTTGCGTAAGGCGGCAATATAGCGAGGATTTACTGTATCGGCTTTAAAATACAATAAATAAAACATTGACTCGCGGAATCTTTATTTTTTTTTTTTCAATTTTTTATATTTCTGAAGTTTGATATATTGTATAGACATTTTCATAAAACCAGCCATTAAACGTTAAAAATGTTTAAACTCGATTGACCGTATTTTCGGTTATTGACGTGGACGAAGTCAATAACACCACGCAGGCCAAGGATATCCAACATGCGAGGAACATGTGGTGCCGAATACAAACAGAACAAAAATAGTAGAACCTTTTTAATCTTATTGTCGGTTAAAAGACAGAAGACTTTCTTAAAATTTACGGAAAAGATTTTCGACTTAAAAAAATCTGAATCTTTTACAAAAATAAACATTATTTTTCACAATGAAATATCTTCGTATCTTTTGAGGAGGAAGACAATGTGTTCTTTCTCTTGAATTGATCCAAAACAATTGATTAACAATTGGTTGAAAATAATTGGATGAACAAAGGATAGAATAAACAATTGACTGAATACTTGATCAAATTTTGATGAGTTAAGTGATAGATTAGATAAGGATGGATTAATTACAGTACCTAACCTAACCATTAAAAAGACCGTCTCTGGACAATTGTTAACAATTTCAACTTCTGTTTGCAACTGACTGAATCTCGTATTTCGATCGATTCATTTTGAACTAACGCTTCTAGTTCTTCGAAATGACGTACCCACGTGCTCAGTACGAATTCGGAGTAACGACCAGGAAGAAAAAAACAAAATCACATACACGCTCGAAGCTATAGCAGCGTTGAGACGTTGTCGGGTGAAGAAATTATCAGTCTTATACATATTACCACCACATCGAAGATATCACGATAGGCTTAGCAGAGACGATCAGTAGAGTGCAAACACTCGAAGTGACTGGATCGGATAAACGTGTTCTAGTCTGTGCGAACGTCAACTACAAACTGCATTCTCTAAGTCATTCATTATGAAGAAATTCATTTTCTTGTTGATAGCGTCGCTCGTTTTAGCGACCACAAACTCGCTACCTTCAAGAAATTACACGGCTCTTCGGCAGGAGCTGCTAGACTACGAACAACGGTTGATGATAGGGTCCCATTTGAAATTAAACGATGTTGAAGAAGTGGCTAACAAGATAATAATGAAAGCGAAGAGGCAGGAGTTGGATGTTGGTTCGTTTTATTCTTGAAACGCTCTGTTTAGATTTGTTGCGATGCAATGACGAAGATAAGTGGAAAACCAGTTTGATACGTAACACGTGCTGTTCAATTTACCATTGCATTGCGTTGTAAATAGACAGGGATTCGAGTATTCGATCAATCAAACAGTTTCCACTTTTTCAAAAAAATTTATATCAGGCGAACTTGATTATACTTGACACTAATTTTTTATAAGATTCATTGAAAGCCTCGATATCCATTTAATCGAGCGAGAGAAAGTGTTGATATCCAAAGCGGTATCAATGCTGTTTACTGAACCGAACAAGAAATCTTTCTAACCCAATAGATTCAGATTTGAATAGTTCCAAATAGTTCAATATTTTCATGTTAAATTCCCGATTAGGAACTTTTACTTCCACTTTAAACCTAAGCTAATATCACAGGCCTGAAAACAAAGAAGCTGCAGAAAAAGTGTGTGGCATTGGCTCTTTGCAACTTCCTGCTCTGCCATGACGCACAAAAATACTAAGATTTCAAGGACCTCCAAAGTTCTATTAATACCTCAATAGTGATTTAGTGTTGCCTCTAGAACCATACGCTTAATTTTTTTACATCCCGCTTCATATTCCTTTTTCCTAACAAATTCTTGCAGACTTCAAAAATCCGTATCTTTACACCCCCGGACGAAACTTCCTCTTGGCGAAGAACGACATCCAGCAATCGAAGGTCTTCAAATTGCTTCGAATGTTGCCAAAAGGTGCGGCACTGCACGCTCACGACACAGCAATCGGCAGCTTCGATTATCTTTATCACAACATCACTTTCCGTGACAATCTGTACATCTGTGGCAATGGCACTCAAATGCGATTGCAATTCTTCCGGAAACCGGACCAGACATGTAACTGGGAACTTCTGAAGAAGGTGCGGGAGGATCCGTCTCGCGAGGCGATTATCAACGAGTCGATCATGAGCAGACTGTGGATGAGCTCCACCGATCCTATGAAGGACTACTCAGATGTGAATAAAGCTTGGATCAAGTTTATGGACATTTTCCGATTCATTCACCCTGTATTAACATATAGACCTGTCTTCGAAGATTACTTCCTCGACGCTTTGAAACACTTGCATAAAGACAATGTAATGTACCTGGAGTTGAGATCTACTTTCCCAACACTCTACGAATTAGACGGCAGAAAATACAAACCTGAAGACTTAGCTGGTATCTATCGCAATCTTACAGAAAGGCTAGTATTCTCGCTGATTTGTTAACTTCGACACATAAGGAATAATAAAATGAAGAGGTTTATTCTGTGCTTAGATTCAAGAAAGAACACCCAGACTTTTTCGGAGTGAAAGTGATTTACGCTCCTAACCGATCCGGCGATCTAAAGACTGCGGAAGGGTATATCAAAATCATGAAACGGTTGCGAAAATTATATCCCGATTTCGTGATTGGGTTTGATCTAGTCGGCCAGGAAGATAAAGGCCACACGCTTCAGTATTTCGCAGATGTGATAAAGAGCACTGATCCAGATGTCAGGTTCTTCTTCCATGCAGGAGAAACGAACTGGTTAGGTGCTTCGACTGATGAGAATCTTGTCGATGCTATTTTATTAAACACTCAACGTATCGGTCATGGGTGAGTACGATTAATATTGCATCGCTAATGTCTACATCTCGTTCGTTCTATTATTAATCCGTTATGGAGATGAGACAAGTCTTGTTTAACAATTTTAACTACTATGTAGTCTAACAGTTACGTAGATGTACATTAGTGGCTTCCAAAATTTTGAGGATGTAGATGTTTTGATTTTAATACAGATACGCGTTGGTCTCTCATCCCTTCCTGTTGAAGATGGTCAAGGAATTGAACATCGCCGTAGAAGTAAATCCCATTTCGAATCAGATTCTGAAATTAGTAGACGACTTGAGAAACCACCCCGCTAAGATTCTGTTTGCCGAAGGATATCCAGTAGTGATTTCGAACGACGATCCTGGCTTTTGGGGTGCGGAGGGACTCAGCCACGACTTCTATGAAGCTTTCATGGCACTCATGTCCGCCCATGCCGACCTCAGAGCTCTCAAACAATTGGCTATGAATTCTATCGACTACAGTAGCATGAACGAAGACGAAAAGAAAAGGGCTTTCGCTATGTGGCAGCAGAAATGGGATTCATCTATGGAAGCTGTCGCCAGTAACGAAATCTAAGACCATAAACGTTTACACTGATCAAGAATTTGAATATTGACTGCAGAATGCTCATGACTTTATTGGTATAAAGTTTTCCATGATACGCGAATGTGCTATAATTAAATCGTGAATATTTATGCATTTATAATGCGTATGAAAGTAAAAAAATCCTTCGACTATGTAAAAAATATAACGCATTCGCAAGATGTGTAAAATAAAATAAGTTTTAAAAATATGCATGTGACATTTTGAAACTTACAAACATCCAAAGATACAACTGCGCGACGCATCAATGGTTTATAATTACATATCTCTTCGCACGTAGTACATTCATATCCTCTACAAGAAAAGCATTACTTAATGACTGGTGATAATGAATTGATAATAAAACCGGTCTCTGGTATAATTTCATTCATTCAAGGATACAACGCGATTTACCTGCGTGTCTCATACGCACGATTTAAATTCATTTAAAATCTCATTTCTTCCGCTCGCGCGACTGTATAATTAAGTCGTCGCTTGACGACCTCCTATTGAAAGCCGTACAGCACAGAACGTTTTGTTGTCTGCCTAAAAAAGGGAAAAATGAAATAATGAATAGAATTACCGCTTAATGACAGCCTGTGAACATGCGTGGAAATTAAACGACCATAAAAGGGTGTGATACGCAAGCATTTGATTTGTCTGACTAAAGAAGAATTCTATTATCTTCAAACGCTTTGAAAATTCGATTGTCAGCGGCATCTAACGATAATTTATTGAATTATGAGTTAGAAACTGACCTTCTGCGATAATACAATCAAAGCTGAGCTTTTCTTCGTGTTCTTCTTTTAACACATTTTGTAATTATTATTTAATGCAGATTATAGATACAGTTCTGTCAGGCTCAAGAATGAGACATGTCTCGATGGAGTTCTTCATCTTTAACAATGTGGCGGGCTTCTTGAAATTTTGAAAGATACGTTCTCCTCGAGTTTCCTTAATATCTTCATTCGTCGAAGATATAAATCTGTTGCAAATATCCTAATGACATATAGATATAGAAACCTTGTTGTGCTTAGTAGTAAGTTCACTAGTAGAACTTAGATAAAATCGTGCTCGCGAGGAGAATTCTTTAAAAAGACCGCCGACTGCAACAATAATGCAGCAATGCCATCTGACGAGGCAGTCGTCGAGTAGCCGTGAGGGTGTAAAAATGAAACTCTAGATCGTCTTTCTATCTCCCTTCGTTTTCAATTCTCGAGCGTACCGTGGAGTGTCGAGCCGACCGCCGCGAGTCTATGTAATGTCGACAAGGATGTTGACGTTTAATTCAGCTCGTCGGAAGCAACGAATACGCGCCGCGCGAGTCTCGTGAATAATGTCAACGGGTTCCTCGTAACTTGTCGCACGCGATCGTGATAATGTTATGCACCACAGGGTTCATATAAATTTGTAGACTTGATGAACGAACGATCTTTGTACGCGCGAGGGCTTTGGCTCGAACTGTGACGCGCCATATTGGTTTAAGAGAATTGTTCATGTTAGTGGGCTTTCGGTGAATCGGTTATATTGCAAATGCACGTAGAATAAAATAGAGTATCGACAATGGAAGAGACTAAAATCATTTATCACATTGACGACGAGGAAACCCCTTACCTGGTGAAGCTCACTATCTCACCGGAAAGGGTCACTCTAGCCGACTTTAAAAATGTCTTAAATCGGCCGAATTATAAGTATTTCTTCAAATCAATGGACGATGATTTTGGGTAAGCATCGTATCGATACGCGTGTCTTACGACTTCTGCGTTTGTACTTCTTTTGTTGTACAATTGCCTACTGTCATCGTCGCGAGACAGATTATCTTTCATCTTCGGACAGAGTCAATGCCCTACGATTTAAACAGTATCCGCTTTCGTGATAGAGTTATTATTTGGCAATTATTTCTTATCCGGCGATTATTTTTTGACAGTTTATTCGAATCAAGTTTATCGAAAATTTTAATAGTTAATATCGTCATTGTGACACGTTGTTCATCTTGAAATTTATAGCATCTTTTTATAAACAATACTTAATTAAGTTATTTGTCGTTTTTTTGTTATTATTATGTTCATGATTATAATTTATTACGTTTGTGTGTATGTTTTTAGTATTATTTAAACCCTTCAATTCTTTTTATAAAATTGTTAATCAGATGCAGTAATTTCAAATTATTTGTATTCTTTCTTGACAGTGTGGTGAAGGAAGAAATTGTAGATGATGATGCTCACCTTCCTTGTTTCAATGGACGGGTTGTTTCTTGGGTGAGATCCTAGAAAAAATACTAATTTATTTTATGCTCTAGTTACTGGAGAAATCATGATAAGCATGAATGTAAAATATTGAAATATTAACTTCAACAGTAATGATCTTTTTAAAATTATGTACTCAAGTTTTGTGATTATTTGTGTATCCACAAAACTTAAAAAATTCATATATTCATAGTCTGAAAGCATGTATAAAATAATTAATTTAGTATATTGTACATGTATTTTGAAAGTGACATAACTCAGAATACATTTTCTAGGAGAAATTATTTTTGAATATAATTAAATAATATTAAAGTGATATCAAATATGCAATCCTAACGATGTCAAAAATCATATCTTTGAGTGTGTAACTTTTGAAATACATTTACAATACAATAAAGGTGGAAATAAATTTAGGATTTATTTTAATGGAATTTCATATTATGCGTTGCAGTTATAGATTAATATAAATTTGTTCACATATTTTATTTCCTATAAAAATATTTGTTAAGAACTGTTTGTTAGAGACAAAAGAGGAATCAAGAATCCTAATAAAGAAATGAATTTATATATCAATAGCTGGTGTCTGCTGAAGGCAGTAATGTATCAGATGGTGCATCACAGTGCACAGATTCAGTGGCACATAGTGAAGCAAAACATGATCGTGTCGATCATGTGACACCAGGTCACACAAATCGTGGTCCACCACCACTTTCACACGATGACACTCTGACTGAAACTGAGAGTATGATAAGCAGTCAGCAAGGACATCATTTACATAAAAGTTCAAGACATCATTCAGATAAATATGAAAAATATAATAAATATAATGGTATGTTCTTAATTATGTTAATCTGTTTCTAATTGTTAGAAACTATCATTGCCATAATAGTGTTTGTACAAAAAATAACAACTGGAGGAAGCTTTTACTACCTCAATATTATTCTTATTTATTGATTTAGGGCTTCGTATAAATGGTCACTCAAAACATAGATCAGGCCATGGTTATGAGACTGCTTCTATTTTAAGTTCAGATTTAGAGACAACAACATTTTTAGAATCAGATGACGATGCGAGTAGCCGTATAACGTCAACAACTGGCAGACACACCAACATGAGTAGCACAGTTGATAGAGCTACCTTAGGTAAATATATTTTTATGAGAAGCACTGAAATTTAGGAACACAATTAAACACTTGTATTTGAATATCAGATCGACGTAGACCACAAAGAAGAAGGCGTCATAGATTACCACCTATGTCTAGAACATCGTCCTTCAGCAGTATCACGGACAGTACAATGTCTTTAAATATTATAACAGTTTCATTGAACATGGATACTGTTAACTTCCTTGGAATTAGTATTGTTGGTCAGAGTAATAAAGGTGGAGATGGGGGAATCTATGTTGGTTCCATAATGAAAGGGTATGCTTTAAACTTCAGCATGAATTGCTATACAAACTGCTCTGTATAATGAACCATTAGAACGGAGTATATAATAAAATAGATTCATTACATCATGAACAGAAATATATCTTAACAAAATATATCTTAATTATGTGTAGGGGAGCAGTTGCTATAGATGGTCGAATAGAACCTGGTGACATGATTCTTCAAGTAAACGATATTAACTTTGAGAATATGTCTAATGATGAGGCAGTTAAAGTATTACGTGAAGTAGTTCAAAAACCAGGGTATGTTCAAATTCATAAGTAGATTGATGATAAACGAAAAATTTATAAATTGTACTTTAACCATAAACACAACTTTTAGACCAATCAAATTAGTTGTTGCAAAGTGCTGGGATCCTAATCCAAAAGGTTATTTCACAATACCGCGTACAGAACCTGTACGGCCTATAGATCCCGGCGCTTGGGTAGCACATACAGCTGCTATAAGGGGTGAAGGCTTTCCTCCACGTCCACCAAGTGCTACGACATTAACGTCAACGTCAAGTAGCCTTGCAAGTACATTGCCAGACACAGAACGTGAGTTGTTATAACATACAAAATAAATCGTAAAACAGATCGTAAATTGTCGAATCCTAAGCGAATAATATTTTCATTAGGACCGTTAGAAGAACTTCACCTTACGGTCAATACCGATATGCCAACTGTAGTACGAGCCATGGCTCGGCCTGACTCAGGGTTGGAAATTCGTGATCGTATGTGGCTTAAAATAACAATACCAAATGCATTCATTGGGGCAGATGTGGTGGATTGGCTTCATACTCACGTCGAAGGATTTATCGATCGTCGCGACGCAAGGAAATATGCCTCTCTCATGCTAAAAGCTGGCTTCATTAGGCATACAGTGAACAAAATAACATTTTCTGAACAATGTTACTACATATTTGGTGATTTATGTTCAGCCATGAGTAGCATGAAACTAGATTGCGATACTGTTGGACCATTACCTCCGCCAAATGCCTGGGACATGCCTTATTCAGGGACATACGCACCTCATTCTGCAACTGGTTACAGTCCAATGCCATTTAACTTCACCAATGAACCGACTGTGTATGGTTATCACCGCGAAGAAAGTGTTCACAGTGGTTCAGGTGAGGCACACAATTGTATTACAATTAATGTGACATAAGTACAATATATTTTTCACGCTTATATGTTTTATTAGGAGGAAGTAGCGCAGGTAGTGAACACATTTGCAAAGAACCTATTCACGATTTGAAATCCTGTTCTTCAGCGTCTGAATCCGAATTACATATTCCATCAGTGCCAACTATGCCAAGTAAGAATTCCGGCAACGGGAATGGTTCAAACGGAAAGAGGTCGAACGGTAGCCGCAGTCGTTCCAGCGGTTCTGAACAGTCTGTGCAGACAGGAACTGGTTCAGGAAATCAACAAAATCAACAAGACTTATCTGGTAGTAGACAGTCATTTCGCATTGCGATGGGAAATCCTTGTGAATTCTTTGTTGATGTTATGTAGATGCCGGTGTTGTAAATAGATGATTTATAAATTTGGACAGAAAAAATCAATCAAACATATAAATTCAACATTTGAATGAATACTTCGAAACGTTTTAATGCGACAATTTGTACAAGATCTTGCAAGTGAATATTAGATGTTCTCTTCATTCTACTCTTAATATTACTGTTACAATTTTTTTCCATTAACACATATATCAAATTGTTAATGTTGCATGTCTTCTATCGTTCAGAATCGATATTTCAAAGTATTTATTCACTGCCCAATTCAACTTGTTTTTCAGGTTTATACCATTCGCAATAGAGATTCCAATAATTTGTTTATACATGTCGATTCAACTTTGCATTCCACTTTGTATTATGTACTTGACAACAATAACGTGTTTAAAGTCCGTTTTCTCATTAAGTGTATTTCGCATTCGTGAAAATATTTGCATGTAACGTGTACATATATATATGCTAATACAATTCAAAAAGGTTGCATCGGTGTATAAGATTTGAATGCAACGAACAGTGAAGAAGGTATCTTTATACTATAACGATAATGTATAATGTTATTTAAATCCGTTAGTTCTTTGTAGCAGTTCACTTTTTTTTTATTATTTAGTAATATGAAATTTAACAAAGTTTACTTTCCCTTTAAAACAATCAAATAAGTGTTTTATGCAAAGTCGTACATTAAAACAAATTTGAAACTGAATCGTATATTTACACTTTCTCGTTAAATAAATGAAGCTGCTATTTTTTGCATGAGATATGCAACTGCTGTGTTGAAATTTAGCATACGTTCAGCAAATCGAGACTGCTACAATTATTATTGTACGGGAAACTCAGTATTTAATATCAATAATAATAATACGTTATTATATATATACACTATAATGCACGCTTTATAATAAATATATTACGTTGTAATTGTTTATGTAAAGCACGATCGCACAAGATAGTAGAGCACAAGCATGGTCATGTAAATAACACAGTTTACGTCGACGAATTTAAGTAATAAACTATTGCAACAATTCGCTATGTAATGCATGTAAATTATACACATTATTTTATTACGAAAGGTACGTATCTTTATTAATATTTTTCCATTGCTTGCGTTCTAGGATTGTCTACGACAATGGGGCAGCTATTTCTTTAAAAATCGAGAGGATATTGTGTCGAAAATATTAAATGATTCACTAATTATTACTTTTTAGAAACGCACTTTCTAAGGGTAATCTGCTATAAACGAAATAAAAATATTATATATATATATGTAAATGTACAAACAAAATATACAATTTTTTATTGTATATTTGGGTAATTATTGGTGAATCATTTAAACAATCTGGTCCATGCGTAAAGGACGAATTTTTTATTGTATTCCTACTAATTCAAGTTTATTATTTGGTAATGAAAGAGATTGTTTACAATTATGTTATGTGGTATTGCATCACAGGTTCGACAATATGTAAATAGAACGAATTATGCTCATATTAAATGTGCCATCTTATCAGTGTTAGAAAGTATTGAAAAAAAAATAATAAACTGCGACGTATAATTTATATATGTACTAGCTGTCTCAACATGATTGACTGCTGCGAAAATTGCAGGTTCTTCATATTAAAACGAAACAAAAGTCCTTTACCATTTTGTAATATACTTAATACTAAAGTAGTTTTTGATTTATTTTAACACGAAAAGTCTGTAGTTTTCGCTGTGTACACTCGGGTGCAACATGGACTTCCTTTGGATTATCACCAATGTAATGGGAGGAGTCTCCCATCACTTTTAGAGAATTAAACATGTAAACTTGTAGATTTTTAAGTTCTAAAATCCCCAAATTAGATCCTAGAGTTCTCAAATTTTCAAACGCGAAAATTGGTAAACTTGAACATTTTTACGACTGATGGATCCTCTTGCCTCTACATCGCCATGTTCCCTAGGAAAGTTTCCGGTGCTCCAATCTTTTTGAGACATCATGTATGTAATACACGTGCTTTCCAGGTGTATGCATTTCTTAATCGTTTATGTTTCATTGATGTCATCATTATTTACAATACGAATTATCTTCTGCATCTCACATACACAAGCTTATTTAATTTCAACAAACTTTGTAACATTTCATTGCGTCTTGCCGTTGCGTTATTATCATGTAAATTTTTTATTTAGCGTATCTCGTATCGAAACAACGTGCTCTTCTTTTCTCTCTTTGTTTTCTTTCTTAAATGCCGCTAGAAGATATTTACATTCGATGCACTGAAGTGCGTTCGCGACGTTAATATAAGACTAGATATTTCAAATATGGTATAATGTTTGTTTCGAACGTTTCTCCTTTTTATATCGATTTTACTATATTTCTATATTTACACGAATGACCATTTCCATTACTTTCTAAATATTTATCGAATACGTAGAGAATATTATTCGTAACATGGAACCATGTTTGAAACTTTCGTGCAATTTTCCAAAATGTATAGTAACCCTTTTATATCGTCTTTTTTTTCGTATAATCAAACACTGGACATTTTGCTAGGAGAATAACAATGTATAGTAGAAAGTTTTCGTTGGTATGAAATAAAAAATTTCCTTGGAAAATTGCACGCTGTAATCATTAATTTCAACGAGTGTATTTCGTTTCACCACCGATTATGTAATTCGATATTTAAGAGGGTAATTAACACAAAATTAAGGTACCGACTATTATATAATTATTCTGTAAAATATATACATATTTTATGTTGCAGACAGGCTGTACAGTATGTCTGAGAAACGCAAAATTGTAAAAACAACGATGTTTCATTAAACGATAACCGAGAAAGGAGGAAGTGAAATGCATACAAATTTTGTGACTCACAGACATACTATCAAATTTGGTTGATTTTATTTTCTATTTATTGTGCCGCTCTAAAAGGACTTGCTGCTTTCTGTCATAACATACAAAACGACTCAATTCCCTTTGCAACTAACGTTGCGCGTTAAATGGATTACATCAATGTCAGAGACGTAATCGGGTCATTTTTGTGCCTTGTGCTGCGCTGACGGTCGACGCAGAACGGCGTATGCACGAGGAAACTCGTACTAACGATTTGGACAACAATAGCAGAGGCAATATCTGTGAGTGTATTTTATTTAGTCACCGCGATTGACTCATCCTTTTCTTTTCGTATCTTTCTTTTTTCGAAACATTAGAAAGTACTTTCTGTATTTAATTAACAATCCACTATCAGCTTAGATTAAGTACTACGGTAATTCCAGTTCATTTAAAAGACTTTATCCGTCAGAGCAGTGATGGGCAAATTCCAATCTCTCTTATCTAAATTTCCAAATTACCAGATTTCTAAATTCTCAATATATGAAATTTCAAAATTCGATGCATTATGCTTCTATCCTACACCTAATGCCCCTCACTGCGTTAGAGAGTAACTTACCCAGGTTTAATTAATATCCATTATCAACCTAGATTATACACTACAGACCCGTTCGTTCAGTCGATAAACTTCTTGCTTCATGTTGCGTTTGGAGAAGTACATACTCTCAATTTGGTTCAAGTAAAAACTATTCTACGTATTGTTAAGATCAAGTTAAACCAAATGCATCCACGAATTTGTCTTGAAACTCTTTTTGTTTTTTGCCACTGTAGTGCTTGTTTCGAGTAACTGCAGCATCGTACCAGCATCCGAGTATGTTTCATAATCTGCGAATGCGTCTACACGAATCTATATAGTAGTGAGAACACCTGTCTCGTATGTATTGTCGATAGAGTTTGTAATGCTGTTGCATAAATCGTATACAAGGCAAACACGTAGTTTCGTTACCTGTATCACCCCTGTTATCTTTGACAATTTTCGAGACCGTTCCCACAGGTATATATACAGGGTTACTATGATTATTCTTTGAGAAATAATTCATCCTCTAAAGCTGAAAATTTAGTTAATGAGAAAGACTACCCTCGCTTTAATTAATAGACACATTAATAGAAGATTCCTTCTGCTTGTGCCCTTAACCATAAGCTTCCATAACTCGAGTACCATCCAGAAACCTCAAGGAATCATCAGAAAATGGATAGCAAAATTTTGATAGTGAAAAATGTGTAAAGATAATTCGATGAACACTCTTTCTAAGATGAGAATAGTTTTTACAAGGAAATTTGAATATGTCGTGATGGGAATAGCACGTGTAAAATTAGGAGCATTGTCGTCGCTCTTTTTCAGTGACCCTGTATACATACGTATAGTATGTCCTTTTAGCGCAGCCAGCAAAGAGCCACGCTATGAAACTAAAACATAAGACGTCCGTTTCTCTTTTTTCCAGATGAAGAGGACATTTTGGAGTACCAGTTTCTGCACAAGTGAAGATGCTCGTTAGCGGGATACGTATACGTAATGGTCGTAATAGAGGAGTTGAGAACAAGAAATTAAGGTATAATTTTCACTCGACCTTAATTAGTCGGACGGATATTAGTACTGGCGAAACATATATATAAATATATATATTTATATATATATTTAATAGGCCAATTTTGATAATGCGTCATAGAGGATGAACAAGGATCCAACCTCTCCGTATAATTTGTAACGGTTATACATAAAAATAGAATTAAGGTCATCGAATTTCTACCGTGGTATTTCAAATATCACGCACGAGAATTATATATGTTTATAACGCGATCCGCAACAACAAAGAAAGAAAAAATGTCTCGAGTAACGATGGCGGGTTAAGCGTGTTTTCTTTAAAGCAGGGTGCATGCAAGATCGAGGACACTCGATACCGCGAATTGTTTTATAAAATTATAGCTGCACTTGTTCTTTCCTTTTTCGCCTTCGAACGAGGATATCTTTTATTACTCCTCGTCATATATATATTATATTTTTCGTATGTTGTTTCTCCTGAAAAATGGAATTAATCTAGACAACTTTCGTTCGCTTGTAACATCAAAATTTTTCGACAAATGAAAACGCGTTACATTATGTACTATTGGGCAATGTAGGCTTCCTTTGGATTAACATAAACAGGTATTACTTTCACTTTGTCTGGAGATCTTTTCCCAAATTTTCAGATTCCAAACTTTCCAGGTTTTTAAATTCTTCTACACTTCTTAACTGAAGAAAACCTACATTGGACCTTTAGTACTGTACTTTTAATTATACGGGTATATGAGCAACATATATATGTAAAGTTGAAACTAACGATTTTGCGTATACCGATTAAAAGAAGGAAACGACAAGGTAAAGAGCGTCAGTAACGCAAGATATTCGCAAAAAGAAAATTCCTGATTTGTTAGTACAACTTATATGACTGCAAATACGTCTCTTGTAACCAAGCGTTTAAACCCTTGCTACGAATGAAAAATTAATTAGTATGAAGCATACAGTCATCGAAAGTTACGAGACAAATTTTCGTAACTACCGTCAGGGAATATTTTTGACTAAATTTTGATTCACGGTTTCAGTCGTGTTAACTCGGAACAATTATTAACGCACAGGATTGTCCGCTTCGTTCGATTTGCTTTATACTAACTAATTGACCGAACTTCGATGTATGTACGATTTTTTATTTTTCCATGCTATTTCAACCAATTAATCGATACAAAAAAAGGCAATACGTAAATAAACTGTAAAGATAGGACTGTATAAATTCGTGGAAAACTTTCTGCCCCGATTCTCTGTGAGCGTGCGAGTTTACACGAGCGTGCGTGACGATGAATCGTATTGTCGTGTGCAAGTATCTTCCTCGTTGAAGAATGAAGCAAAAAAAAGAAACCAATCGAAGCCTCGACGGGTCAATAATAATGAAAGTTTATTCGTCGAGACGCACTCGAGAGCTGTTTCTTCTGACTGAAGTATTTTAATGTCATTTAGAGGTATAGTACAACGCGGCAAGATAGTCAATCGATATTGCATTTACGAACAGATAGCTCATTCCTTATAATATTTTTTACCCCTGCGAGAAACGTTTACAAACTTTTCCTTTTTTTATTAACGCCACGGATTTTGTACACTCGGGTACAACATAGATTTTTCTTGGTTGGGGGAGGTAGGAAGGGAATATCCAACCATTTGCTTTTTCGAAAGTTCTTCAATTTTCAAATTCCTAAATCCTGAATTCCTGGAATCTCACTGCACAACTTCGATAAATAGAATGGACATTTCGTTCCTTACATTTTCCCCCTAACTAAAAGAAACCTAAGTCACCCTTGACCATACGATTTTCATACGAATCGCGACACTCAGCAATTTTATTACTCTATTCAATTGTAATGGCGAAACTAAAGATTTGTAAAACGAGCAGGAAGGAAAACGAGAAAAACTATGGCACAGTTATTTACTCAATAAACGATTTCTTCGCGCGTATGATGTGTGTAGGTGTGCATGCGTGTACGTATGTGTCTCGTGGGAACAGCACGAGACAATGTATGCAAGACATTGAACGTTAACGATCTCTTCCTCCGTTTCTTATTTCGAACTTTTGCGAATGTAACGTGAACGTTTATATCCATAGTATGTGTACGAATTACACGTGGATGTAACGAGTGATCCAAGAGGCTCGGATAATTCCGCGAAATCAGGTAAAGATAACACGAAGCGTAAACTAATAGAACGACGAAAGAATTCAATACATGTAGTAGTGTGTGGATATACAGGGAAATAGATTGTAAAGATTTTTATCACTGTCTGAAATTATTATTTGTCTCTGATATTTTACAATTTCAACGAGCGATCAAACAGCGCAGCTGTTTTAGCATCTACGAGGCACGTTGCAGTAACGCGAACTGCTCGAAATTATTTTTATTTATCGCTACACAGCGTGTTCCCTTAGCGAACGTTGTACTTCTAGTTACAATTACGTTGCATGCCTGTTAGTCGTCCATTCGACTATTATTCTTCCTTGATTCGTCGTTCTGGCCGCGTTCCTAATCCTCAAACGCAAAGCTCGATGCTCTATAACATGAACTACAAGCATAAGGTCTGATAATAATAACATGTAAAGATTGATTGCAATCGTTACATCTTCCATCATGGCGTCGGTTGATCAGACAACAAGATATCAATTCTTTTATTGTCGCATTGCTCTGATTCACCGCGAGGATTCACTCGATTCACGATCAATAAGCTTGTCGAAGTAAGCAGCGTTCACGCCTCGTCACCAAACCGAGCATTTGTTGACCGGATTCATGGGCGCACCGAGCGGGCAATTAAATACTTCAGCAAAGTCCTCCGAATTCGACAAAGTACCGATCACGCGAAACTTCCCGGGCGAATGCACCGCGGTTTTCAGTTTGTTCCGGGTAGCTTCCGGTCTCATCGAGCCACACCACACCTGGGCGAAGTTCAAAAAGAATAATTGTTTTCCTGTCGCATTCAGGCCAGGTAGAGTCTCGTTGGCGTCCCCGTTTATGCGCAGCCATCGTTCGTAAGCCTGGAAAACAATTTATTTTGCAAAATATATATTCAAGATCTTCTAGCAGCACGTCAATTAATTTCACACGATCTGTATATTTCTGATAGTTATTCTAAATTATTATAAGAATTAATGAGTGATAAATTCTCACCCTAAAAGCCTGTTTGATGCCACCGTTGTCGGCAATGTTTTCTCCTTGCGTATTGATTCCATCTATCTGCATTCCAACTTCGCTGACAGTATAATGGCCATACTGGTCTAAAAGATTAAATAGTTTTCGAACTCACAAACGAAAGTTCAAGGCGAGTAGTTAAGGGACACAAAGCCCGCCGTTACCGATAAGACACCGTGCTCGTTCGTGAAAGCCATAAATAGCCTCGTCTTTCCACCATCTGTGTAGATTACCATCCTTATCAAATAGTCGACCCTTATCGTCGAAGCCATGAGTGATTTCGTGGCCGATCACCACACCAATCCCACCGTAATTCAGACTCCGTGGAAAGTATCTGTGATAAAATGGCGGCTGTAGTATGCCGGCTGGGAACACTGAGGGTGGAAAGTAATTTGACAATTAGTGAAGACTTTCTGTATGTCGAAAGTCTCGAATAAAGAGAACAGAAAAATCGTGACGCGTTGAATCGTACACGAATCAATTTCAAAATGGAGACTGACTTATTCTGTTCTTGCTGCGACTGTAATACGCGTTCACGACTGCTGGCGCGGTGTTCCACAAAGTTTTGTTAACGGGACTACCTAGGCGATCCTGTTCGACTCTAGTTAAATGCTGCAAGATATTCAACGTGTTCTCGAAATACTTGTCTGGACGAATCACGACCTGGAAGACGGACGTAAATTAGATTCGTTTACACGATCGAATTATCTAATCTCCGAAAGTGTCAACTCTAAACCTTACATCCTTGTAACGCTCATTTAACAATTCAGGCTGGAGAATGAAGTCAGGGTAGCCGATGCTTAACAACATCGCGTTTACTTTCTCAGTAGCTAATTCTTTCGTTTCGTCGTCGATCCAAGAGGTCTGATTAAGAAGCTCCCTGAACGATCGCTGAATCTCCCGAGTCATTGACAAAGTCTGTATTTAAAAGACAAAGGATCATTAACAATTAGTGAACATACATAAGAAACAAAGGCTTCTTACATCATTTTTACTCTTCTCGTCGAAATACTTCCTCACGAACATCGAGCCTACAGCCATGCCCATATTAGAGTTCACCTGTGCCACACAGTTTTTCCATCTTGACGGTGCTTGCTCTCTTCCGAAAAGTATATAATAGAATTTCTGTTTAGCTTCTTGGAAACGATCGTCCAGATTGTTCACTCGATGTCTTACGAATCGCCAGAGTAGGTAATTTGCGATAGTTCTGCAAATTAATTAGTAGAATTTAGAGATCAGCTTTTGTCTCTGTAAACTTAATATTTGAAGCACTATACCGTGGACTAGTTTTCGACAATAAATTCACCAAATCCTGAATGTATTGCAAGGCATAGACAACAACTGGTTCCGAAACGTTTGTCGGACGCGCTAAAACGATTGTCAGATATCGGTGCCAATTGATTTGTGGCACCAAAGTTCTCAGTTCTCCTATGCTCACTCTCTGATAGAGCTCCGAAACGTTTCTTCTCTCATCAGGGGTAGAGGTGATCTGTAAAACATGAAATAAATTATCATAGAACTAGAGAGGCTAACATCGCGGAACGTGAGGCACGCACCTTGGCCAATCTCGTTTCAAATTCGATCAATTCATCAGCGTCAATAGTAGCGTTTTTCAAGGATGCACCTAGCAGCGTCGCGATCTTTATTAAATAATTCTTGTAGGCCTTTAAGTAGATCGTGTTCGATGGCTGGAGAAAATAATCTCTCGTAGGAAGACCCAGGGACGTTTGATCAAACTGTAATCATTTAATCACTAGAACTATTTTTAAACCGGAGGATAGAGAAGAGGTAGAATAGAGAGACTAAGCTGGAATAGCTAAACAATAATTAAACTTAAGCAACATTATTTTGACTTTGTACCTTTATACAACTGTTACAAGATATAGTTCTTGATAACTATAAAGCAGAAGTTGCTAGAGTTTATAAAGAATTCATAGTGCTACCTGTATGACGTATTGATCGCTATTCTTGATATCCGGTGCAACCCACTCAGAAATAAGGATGTCGTTGTTGTAAAGTCGTAGTTGTGCGACCAATAGCAACCAATCAAATTTCTCTGGGTCCCAATTTGGTCTTAAGATAGGCCACCCTCCGAGTTCATCCAAGAGCTGTATAAGAGGCCGCTCCATGCGTTGCTCCAAGATCTCTAGCCACATTTCACGCGTTAAAACTCGACGTTGTTAATAAGATGAACTAAATATTTTTAATCCAAGAAGAATTTACCGTAATTCATGCAACTTTGGAACAGATATTTAGCTTTGACCGTGGCATCGTTCGTGTTCAGTTCCATGCCTCTGGGTATCGGATCCTCGAGAAGCTCTTTCAACACGGAGTCCAAGGATTCTCGGATCATCTCGAACGTGTCGTAAGCGGCCTTGTCCTTCGGTATAGGATTATGCCTTGCCCAATTCCCGCAAGCGTACTGATAGAAGTCCTCGCAGGGATCGGCGTTCTTGTCCATGTACTTGAGCATGATTTTTGCTGCGGCGAATATCTGTTTCTTAAAAAGCGTATGAGCAGAAATTACGCAGAGCTGCTAAAGGAACAACGTGTCAAGTGTACCTTGAGCCTTCCTAATGGCCCACGCGTTCCCCTCGCCCTTCCAGAATGCGTGAAAATCCCTGTTGGTATCGTCGCCCCATTGATCGTCGGTGATCGGTAAATCGGTGTCCAAATCGTCCACAGAAATCGAGTGTCTACCACCTTGTTCATCCTCGTCCGACTCGTCTTGAGAAGTGTCATCGTATTTTCCGTGGAACTTTGAGTACGGTTCCTCTTTCTTACGAGTGTCGTATGTGTGTTCGCTATATCTTAAAAGTAAGAGTAGTACATTTTTATGGAATCAAGAAGAGAGGATTCTCAAAGTGTGAGACTACATCCACTAATAGACAATACTAACTCTTGATAATCATTGTTCTGTATCTCAGAATTTTCCTTGATCTCGTCAGTTTCCACCTCGGGGTAATAGTCATCCAAAAAGTTGTCCAAATCTTCGTCGGGACTCTGATCGTCCGTTTCCTCGGCATTGTAATTTTTTGACTCTACCTGCACAAGATAAATCAACGAAATTTTAATATTTTATTGAAAAAAAAAAACGTGATGTTTCTTAGTCAAAAATTGAAACACGCTCATCGAAATTTATGTAACTCAGTCGATGTTTTTTTCGTCTTAACATCATCTCAATTGTAGAAAAGAACATACATCAAATTTAATTGCCCTTGCACGAAACGAGAGGATTGGCAGTTAGACGATCGATACTTAAACCCTACAGTAACACTAATTTAATGTTGATTAACGCTAATTAACGTTGCTGCGCACGATACTCATTGGTCGAATCTCTTTTTCTTCTGAAATAGTTTTACAATGTTTCGAACGAGATTTTCATCTCGTCAGATGCGCAGTTGTTTTGAAGATGACCGTTCTTTCCGGGACTGTTTACCACCAATTGATGTGCCACTGCGTCGATGCAGATTCAAAGCTAACGTGTAGGCTCATGAAGGCGTATGAAGGTAAGCTTTGATGAGAGTGTAAAGACGATGGTAAAGTAACGAACATTCGAACAGTTAGCTAGAGCGCGAATTTGTTGAATTTGCTTGTGAATAAAGTACCCCGTTCAGGTCCCTTTTGCGTCGTTGCAGCTGTCGCGGCGGAAGTAGCGTTTCCACCGGCACGTAACTTGTTTTCATTCCAGGTACTAGGATTCGGTCTTCTTCCTCTTCTTCACCGGCTCGCTCCGCCTCGTTGCTGCTGGTGGCTGTTGACACAATTTATTGCTGATAGGACCCACTTCATTAATTAGAAACCAACTAATATTTTTTATGAAATTAACTTATGTACGCTAATGAAGTTCATAATATGCACAAGAGACTATCTTAGATGCTTTTCAGAGCTTTCAACGTACCTAATCCACATTACCGTCAGCGGTCTGATGAAGTGCTATGCAAACAGATTTTTAGAAAGGTATCACAGAAAGCCCGTCATATAATTAACATGCTTAAAATGTTTTTGTGGTAACAATCGATAAATGAAGCAACGAGTCTGGCACTTTATTTCGCCATTCAGATCTTTATTCGCAGCCAGCGAACCGGACGTTGCTAATATCAGGTCCATTTTACGAGCATGTCGTTGAATAAACTCTTGGCAATAGACTTACGCGGAAAAGTTTCCTCGGTCCTCTCGTCCTGTCTTCTGGTCGCGTGGATCAAATACGTGCGATGATAAGGAGTCTTGCCGATCACCTGGGATCGCGACAGAGCAATGAAGATTATAGTGATCGGCAGTAGCACTGCGGGGATTAGGAGCATCAGCTTAACGCGAAAGCGACAAGTGTCGTTGCCGCCCATGCACCACCTGCGATTCCAACAAAATTTTGTTTCATGGTCTATCACTTCGTCTCGTATACAATTTGTCTAGTAAGAGTACAGCAAAATTTGTATTTGAACGATACTGATATAAAGATATGTTTGATAGAGAAGTTTTTGTCCGGGTAAAAATTGTGGCATACTCTTCCTAGATACAATTCGGAAACGTCTTACGAACTTGAGTCGACCGGTCTCTTTATTGATGGCCAATCGACACGAAGGGCAAGGGCCGCCACTGAAGAGGTCGTCGTCGTTATACTGATCCAACGTGCTGGCACCCCTCATCTTTTCTGAAAAGCAAGTCCCACCCCTTCGGTCAATCCGGTCTTGCGTCTACTTCATCATAACGGAAACGGTACTATCACAAATTACACGAGCAGCTCGTAAATACGAGTGAAAACAGATTGAACACCTCTGACTGATGCTAGCGAGATTGTAATTTACATCGCAAAACTCTGGTTCGAATACCAGGAACACTCGAGTGGAGATCGGTAAAGGTGACGGCGACACTGCGCGCCCGCGAAGAAGAGAACAGACTGAAGCTATTGTGCAGCTCCGATCCTCCGCACCGAATGTTAATGTAACATTGCGCGTACGGTCAAATTAGTCCCAGCGAGACATTTGTACGGGAGTAATTTCCATATGTAACGTCGACGGTCAACGCCAATGGCGATGGCAACAACAATCGAGGCGGAGCTCTGTACGTGCACACACACCGCGAGAGCCATTTTACGCGCTCCTTACGTCCAGTTACTCGTCAATCGACCCTAATAACTTGCAGTTATCGTTCAATAACGCGTCGCGCTGTTTTACATTCTACACGTGACCTGGCCGTTATTAAGTCTTTTCTCATCGCCAGCACCGATTGCCGTTTCAAGACGAACGTATGAACTTCAAAAGGCGAACGAGCTAATCGTCCTCGAGGCACTTCCGATGTTTCCATCCGTCCTGCACGCGCGATCAATTGCTAAGCTTCCACTGTAACGCGTTTCAGGTTCCTCTCCGCGAGGATATTCGAGTCTTCAATGTTTAACACGTTTGATTCTGTGGTACCAGGTGCAAGCCGATTACGATCAAAAACAGAAACGTAAAGTCGTATTTAAGTCTATGAAATACATTGTCGTGTTGTCCGGAATAAGCGTATTAGCTCCTTATTGCTCCTGTATATCCTGATCTTGAGTGATTTTATGATCTCGTAAAAATTGCTGTCTTTGGACCGTGTATTTTAAGTAGTAATATACAGTCAAATGTTTTAATTTGATAATTTAAAATTTATATACTTTTTCCATTTTTGAGCTATCTACAAATTCCATAATTCCTAATTGATTCAGTATCGCTCTCTCCAGCACGCACAACGCATATCGAAACTCATAAGCTTGGTCAGTCTTATCGCTGATCTATACTATGTGTATAATACTCTGCAAATAATGAGGTCTTGCAAAGGAATTTGCATTAATAATTAGTAATTAGTAAAAAAACTTTTTATATTGATAAATTAGACTTATTCGTGACTCGTTCTTTATCGTGTTATTTAAATTTTTATCGATAATTTATGCGACACATAGTGAAGTACTTGTGATTAATGCCAATTATTTAATAATTTTGTTATATTCCAATTTGTAGACTAACTCACTATTAACTTGAAGTTTTCTTTTATGAATGCAATCTTCATGATTCGATAAAAAATTCCAGTATACTATGTTGCAGCCACAAATTTCGTTTTCCTCGGGGATCATCATCGTTGCACGCAGATAGTAGTTTGAAAAGAAATCTCAATGCTGAAGCAATCGCAATTGAATCTATAATTAAATCGCTAGAATGAATATTTTTCCATGTTTTTAATAATCAAACCATCTAACCAAAGATTCTACAAGAATAGAAAATACTATTTCAGGGCTAATTTCAAATTATTTTCAAAGGTGATCGTTTTTTTTTTAATATCTTATGAAATCTATTTGAAATAATGTATTTTATTATTATTAGATAAATATGTAACAATATAGAGAAAGGAAAATAAAAGAAAATAAAAATTGTTTTTTTTAGTAAAAGGTGTTTTATTCTTTGTTTATAAACTTTTCAACAAATTCCAAATATTATATGGCTACCTGTGCTTTCATGTTTTCATTGTACTTATGCCAATATTCCATTGGCACTTCTTTGTTTAGTGCAAAATATGATGGGCCACTAAATGAAATGACAGCACTACCTAAACATTCCTCCCCTTTGTATAAAACAGCAAACTAAAAATATTACAATAAATATCATTTATTAAAGATTACGGTATGAATAATTAAGAAGAAAGATAAAATGTGGAGAAATTATACCTGTCCATTTGTAATAGCTCTTAAAGGTTGACTAAGTTGGATTATTAACTGATCATGAAGAGTCATGTGAACTGTACAAGGTATCACAGGCTCTCTATGTTGAAAACGAAAATCACAATGCATTATCCTAGCTGGTGACATTAATTCCGGTGGTTTGCCTGATATCCAATGAGGAGCTTCTGTTCTTATGAAATCTGAATATAATGCTGGGTGATTTGTTCCTGGTACCTAGTAACGTAATAGATTACAATATTTTACTTTAACAAAATAACTGATGTATGATTGTATATGTACATACAACAATTATATCATTCGTTGTGGTATCTTTCTGATATATAAAGTACGAACTGTCTAAACCTCCAAGTCGGATCTTTTGACCTACAGTCCAGTGGTGAAAACCTTTATGCTCACCTACCACCTGACCACTGTCCAAGTCTACAAAGTTTCCTGGTTTATCAGGTATGTACTATAAATGTTATGAAATAATTAATAAATGATTAAATTTAAATGTTTACTAAAAGTTATTATACTACACCTGAGATATAAAATGTTGAAATTCTCGTTTGCCTATAAAACATATGCCCATGCTTTCCTTCTTCTGAGCAATGAAGTTCAAATCAGCTTCTTGAGCAATTTGTTTAACACGACTTTTCAAATATTCACCAAGCGGAAACATACAAAATTTTAATGCTGTTTCAGGAATCTGACTCAAAAAAAATGTCTGATCTTTTTCCTCGTCTTGTGCTTTAAGTAACTTTACATCTGAGAAATAGTTTAAAAGTGTTATAGGTCATATATAAGGCATGAATATTGTACAAATTGTATGTAAAATAGCTTTTACTTGCTTTCAAGTGGTTTAAAATGTTCAAGATAAGGACCAAAAGAAGTTTTTGCATAATGGCCAGTTGCAATAGCATCTGCTTTAAGATTGTCACGAGCAAAGTTGTAAAAATATTTAAATTTAATGTATTTATTACATAATATATCAGGATTTGGTGTGCATCCGTTTTGATACAGTTCTATTGCATTGCTATAAATGTTGAAAAAGGTGAAGTTTTCATATTAAATAAAAAATATATATATAAAAACATGTACCTAAAGACATTATTCCAATAGTGTTTCACAAAATTGGCTTGAACAAGAGGAATATTTAGTTTAGTGCATACCCATTGTGCATCTTCATAATCTTTTTCAACACTACATACTCCTGTTTCATCAACTACATCCCAATTCTTCATGAACACTCCAGTGACATCAAACCCTATAATAATTAATAAACAATTAAAATTATTAATTAAACAAAGGATTATTAACTAAATTTACATACAATCTTATTTACCTTTATTTTTTAAAAGAAGTGCTGTTACAGCACTATCAACTCCACCAGATATTCCTACAACTACTTTTTTGAACATTTTAAATTAAATCTTTTATTACAACATGTGACAAAAGCTTTTCTACAATGATATATTCTTATTGTTTAAAATATACTTCTTTCTTTTCTTTGGTCTTGTTTTGAGTCATTTTCACCTGTTTAGAATATGTCAATATTAAAATAAATTCTTGAAAAATTTATTATGTACTTAGATTATATTTTTTCTTTTTTTAATTTAATGGAGCGTACTATTATTATCGGCAATAATACAAAAATGTTTTAGTTACATAATATAAAAGTATACAAAAATCATTTCAAAACGAATCTTTTTATTTATTTACATATAAATTATTAAAGAATAGGTTCATGAATAACAATAAATATTCGAGTCAAAACTTTCATTAACCAACTGAATGTGCTAGAGATCTAATATGGAAAGACTCGTTTCTAAATTTTAAGAAACATTCAAATTTATTGCATTTCAGATATCAGTTTCGATATGTATCGATTATATATTACATGTACAGAATCATGATAGTAATATTCTGTAATAATCTCAAAAGAACTTACAAATTTACAAATATTAAAGGTTAAAGAAGTACCGGATCGATCACGTGGTATCGTATATACGTATTCGATAGGTTACGATTACATTTTACATGCGCATTGCATGGCCGACCGTGTACAATAGCAAACACGACAGGCTTCTCTAGGAAAAATGACGATGTAGGGGAAAGAGACCCCACCATTTATTGGTTTTTGGTTAGAAAATTTTCAAATTTACAAATTTACAAAATTAGAAATTTAGATCTGAGAATATGGAAATGTGGGGACTAAGAAATCTGCAAATATAAGAATTTGAAAATTTAAAAGTTAAAGAATTTGAGAATTTATAGATTTGGAAATTCGAGAAATTTGAAGATATAAAAATTTACAAATTTCAGAATTCAGATAATTAAGAACTTAAAGATTTGTAAATAAAAATATTTTAATATTTCGAGTTTACGTATTCCATTCCCACAAATCGAATGTAAGAAGTGGGAGGCTCCTCCTCCTGCATCATTTCTTACCCAAAGGAAGCCTACATTTCCCCCAAATGTACGACTGCCTACTTATATATTAAAGAAGGAATAAATGATTCGATAAAAGAACTTGACGGGATCGTGTCTCAATAAAATATATTTCAATATTATTTCACGTGCACGTAGTGTATTTCAGGAAAATATCGTAACTCGTTTTCAGTGATTAGCACGTTTCGAGGCTCGCGCGTAGGTCGATGTCCGAAAATCGTCGGCCAATCGACGCACGGCTCTCTCGTCGGGAACCAGTCAAGCACGTTGACAGATATGCAACGGCTGGTCGCAGTAGCTTGCATATTTCGAATGGCATTTTCTAGTGCGAATAACAAAATATCGCGTGCTAGTTCAGTCCATCGGATCAGACGAAATTCTCGAGGCGATCCACCGGTTTTTGAAGAAATGCGCGATTTTGGTGCAAGTGCAACCCATTTTGCGCAGTTTCCATGACCCAGATTACGATGGGGAGTTCGCTCGCCTTTCGGAACAGCTGTTGGCCGCGCGAACATGTCGGCCGCGGGGAAACGCTTGGATATTTCGTGGACTGCGCGCGCCTCTT